GCTAAAAACGCCTTACTATACATGGTCGTTTTTTTCGGCTAAAAACGCCTTCCCAGACACCGACCATGTATAGTAAGGCATTTTTAGCCGAAAAAAACGACCATGTTGGCGATCGTGAATAAAGTGCAAATAAAACACCCATTACGCACACTACCAAAACGTGCAAGCCAACTTTATTCATTGTTTCAAGATGCTTTGTTGTTTCAGGGCAACTCCGCTGGAATAGTTGAGACCCAAGTCTCGTCTGGATGCAAGCGGGGTGCTCTCTGCTGGTCCCAACGGGGCCAGGGGCTGAAGAACCTGCAAAACCCAAAGGATCGCGGTGAAATAGGATCGCGGTGAAATTAAACTTCGTTTCAGATTGGGGAGGAAACATCGTATGACTTTCTGAGGGCCCCGATAACTTTTCCCCCTCAAAGTATTCACTGCATATCGATCAACATGTCAGAAACATTTCGGTATCAAACCCCAGCAGAGGGCCCGCCATTGGCAAGGGGAAATAATAAACCCGAGTTCGCTTTCCGATGTCAGCTAACAGCAGTAAGTAAGAATCATTGTAAAATTCGACCGCAAACTCGCAAGAGGCTCCCGCCCCGCGCCCGTCGTCGACGGTGTTGACAAGGTCTTTACGAAACGTAAGGGCGCCGTCTTCTGGTGACCAATAGGAATGACAAACCTTCGACTGAAGTGGCTCTCAACTTTACAAGTACAGTCCCACCGAAAAAATACAACTCCCTGGGTACCTTTATCAGGTGTTGTCTCACCATGTTGGTCTTTGTTGTTGTGTTTATGATCCTCTGGACGAGTTGGAACTGGGAAAATCAAATCCTTTTGCATCCCTGTAAACCTCGGCTAATCACTGCCCTTAAATGATTACGATTCCCCTTACAAAGCAACAAAAACCCTTCCAACAGTTTACCGCGCATGCGCACATCATGCTTTATCAATCCGACCGTACGCAGCGATGAACAAAAATATACGATTGAGGATTACTTTTGCTGGTTTGCCGTGACAATAGTCGCGATCGACGACGGCATTGTCGTTGGCTACCAGCAGGTGAAGACGAACTGGATTTGAGCCAAAATGGTCTTTGTGAGATCGGTTAACAATTGTTCCCCCTCCCCCCCGTATAAAAGTTGTTATACGCCGTACATGATTTGAAATGATAAAAAAACGTGTAAAATTCGGGCAAAACGTACAAGCTGACAGGTATGTGTCTGTCTGTGGCTGCGCAGTTGGAGCTGGCTTGGTTGTCTTGAATGACAGTGCTCTGCACTTGATTAGTAGGGGTAAACCAACTAATGCCTAAAATTTCAAGTGCATGCTTGAGCTTGGTTTTAACCACAACCAAAAAACAAAACTGAAAGGAGTTTCACGCCGTAGCTTCACATTTAAACTGTTCTCGGTCTTTGCGCATGTTTTCTGCAGTCGACTCGAAACACATTACATGCTCGTATTTACAAGTGAAATACAAATGAATGATTCTTTCGCGTACCACTAGAGGGAGCCCACATCCCACCTGTGGAGTTACGTTCAAACTCTCGAGAGGTCCTTCTGTTTCCGCGCACATCTTCCCCGTCGCATTGCTACACGATTGGAGAAAAGTTCACACGAAGGGACGAGCATGACGGTGTCAGGTTACTTCTTCGGGGTCCTCTTCGCGTCTCGTTCACTCGTGTTATCTTTCCAGCCGCCTCTCCCTCGTTGTTGCCTTTTTCCCTCCATTCATTTCGTCGCCCCCTCCCTTGTTGCTCATTTCCCCTCATCTGGCCCTCTCATTTCTCATTTTTATGTAATCTAACGTCTTCTGCCTTTGCTCTGGTCTTCTTTGTTTTTCATGTGAGCGCATATTTACAGTAAATGTGCGCTAAATATCAGAAATGGACCACCTAGTATCCTGTGTAGGAGGGAGGAAGGAGAAAAATAGCAAATTGATTTCTACAATTGATCACATGCAGATCCACTGACTGCGGTGACCCTTTGTTAATGCTGAGTGAGGGCGTGGATTTTTGTTTGTGTACAAAAGATACGCCATGAAAAAAAAAACAAAAACATCCTCAGCTGGATGTGCACGATGGACGGACACGCATGTCGGACAAATAAAAGTCAACATTGTATGACGTTGATTGCAAAAGCAGAAAGAAGGAGGTTGCCACTTAACCTGTAGACAAACGTTGATTAAAAAAAAGGAAGAGGAACGGAGGACCTCTACATTTCATTGTCTAACCTCTTTGTGCCTGAAACAAAACTGCCCGAATGCCGCGCGCCACCGCGCAACAAATTCCTGAAAAATTACAACTTGTGTCAACTTGTTGACGGCAAACTAATACGAGTCTGGCTTTTCTCTTGCTCACTTGTCTTTTCATTTCCAGACAGTAAATACATGTGAAAACTTTTTTTGGAGGGGGTGGCGGTGAGGGGGGGGGTGAATACATGCGGCAGGAGGTAACTGAACTCAAGACAATATCGATATATGTTACTTCACGCCTGCTTTTTTTTCAATTGCTTTTTAATGTTTCTTTTTGTCAAGGTCTGTGAAAACGAGCAACAGCAGCATTTTATCTATGAATCTATTTGTACACAAAAGCTTCCTGTTGTGTAATTAAAAATGTAATAACATTCAGCTACTATGCAGCATTTAAAAAAAAAAAAGAGATATTTTCCAAACACTTCTGGAATTAGTCGATTGATCAAATTAGAACTATGGAGCGAGAAAAATCGAGAACAATTATAACACACGAGTGTGACACAGTCGAGCACAAATGTAAGGTCACTGTACTGAAATGTAAACTTGTATCATATTATGTGAGTACTATTTCACTTGATGTGGATTCTTATTTTTTCATTCTTTTCGCTGTATGATGCATCTGTGTCCTGTAGGTGGCAGCACGTGGTTCCCCGACACGCGCGCGCGTGCACGGCGGAAGTTTCTCACCTGATGGTTGAAATATGATTGATTAGAACTGCTCAGTTCACAGACACGCACACTATTTACATGCTTTTTAAAAAGCTAACCACCAAAAGTGCATCATAGAATTAGCCCTGCACATCATCATCATCGCATGTTTTCTTTTTGCAAACAAGGTTGGACCAGTCGAGATTTGGGTTTTAAACCAACTGGCAAACCTGCAAAACTCTTTTCAGTCCATCGCGGCGATATTGAAAGTGCTTTTGAGAGGGCTCAAAGTGAGTAGTCTTGTCATGTCCCGCCCCCTATAAATAACTCACTGCCGGTCGGGGGGGGGGGCCCACAGCTGCACTGACGGTGCTGACGTATGACCTTGGGGAGAGAGAAGCAAAGTTTTGCTTTTATGAAGTTAATGAACCTACTGTCACATGACTTGGGGACAGATATCAGCAGCTCTTTTCTGGATTGAGCAGCGCCCCCCCCCCCCAAAAAAAAGAAGAATGACATTTGAAAGAAAATTTCAGATTTGATTCGGTTTTCATCCATCACTTCAGTTGAATGCATCCATTTTCTGTTCCGCTTGTCCTGACTCACTTCCCACCGCCATGCTACATGCTGGCCTCCATTCATCATATTGCTCTTCTATGCAAAATGTATTAAATGCATACCCCCTTATTGATGAACACCAGCCAGATTAGAGCTTTTTCTGCCCCAACAAACGGTGTGAAAATGAATTGAACTGCTTGATGGAAATGTGAGGCTTGATTGACAGTCTTAAATATTTCATCGCAATTCAGTGCCTTTTTACGCTTGCTGTCTGTAGCGTCCAGTATGTGGAGATTAAATGGAATGCGAACCATTTAAGACCCTTCGGGCGTCAGCGTTGTTGGTAAATAAGCACTTTAAAAATCAAGCTTGATTTCAGGTCTGTCAGAAAAAAAATCCAGGATTGCGAGCACCAAAGAGATATTCCAAACCCAAACTTTTGAGTTTTCCCCCTTCATCGCATATTAGACGATCAACCAGCTTGTCTATAAAGTGATCCTGTGGAGTTTGCAACCGCTGAGTGTTGTGCCATGACAGCATGCCGGAGCTTCTGACAGTTCCTGACCGAGCAGAACGTCGGCGTGCTGCAGCAAGTTGCCTTCTCACCCGACGTGGCGCCATCAGACGTTCTCCTCTTTCAAAGGGTCATCAAGGGGAGCCATTTTATCAAGAGGGCCGTGACGACGGAGCTCCGGAGGATCCTGAAAGAATCCCTGCGGATTACTGTCGTGGAAAACTCATAGTTTGGATTTGAAATACAGCTTTTGTGCCACCAGAGCTTTTCTGACACACCTGGTTAAATTTTTTTTTTTGGGAAGATTTCACTTTAGATTTAAAACGCAAAAGTTCACATGATTTGGTTTCTTTGTAAAACAAAAAACATTTAGAAATTTGGTAGTTTGGGGGGGAAAAAAAGACACCTGTGTGATTGACTCGTTTCATTGCCAAGCGCCTATTGAGATTTTCTAGTCAGCGTTCATCAGAAATCACGGGAATCAATAACAGTGCCGGATTAATGCAGATTTCTTAAGGAATGGTGTCAAATGGAAAACAACACAGTCAGTTACTTTACAGTGGCCAAAAACCAATGCAAAAAAAAAAAAAAAAGCTCAATATATATATTAAAAAAAAAAAAAAAAAAAAAAATAATTACCGGTAAAAAAAAAAAAAAAAAAAAAAAAAATGAGGGGGATCAGTTCCAGTTCATCAGTGACACAGACTAAGGGTCTTTTGGATGGAGCACTTTTTGCACTGGACCACACAGCACCAGTGGAAGCGACACAGACAGTTCTCCTCAAACACCACCGTTTCCTGGCGGTAGCCGCGCTGGCAGCAGAGCAGATCGCAGCCGCTGATGTCCATGGCGGTGCTGTTGCACATGCGCCCCCGCGTGCCCAGCGAACCCGTTTTACGGTTCGCCAGACAGAAGTCGGGCGATTCGTCCGAGTAGATCAGATCCTGCCTGTCCGGCGGCTTGATGTTCTGACCGACGGGGATCAGCGTCTTGCCGTCGTTGCCGCCCATCACTTTGGAAGCACCGTTGAATCGCTCCAGGAGGCGGTCGCCCACCTCGCGGAAATGGGGCATCTTTTTCCAGCAAGTGCGTAACGTGCACGAGCTGGACAGTCCGTGGCACTTGCACTCTGTCCGCATGTAGAGCTTCACTGCTTTTTGTTTTTTTGGGGGGGGGGGGGGTGAAGTTTGGGGAGTGGAAAAAAAAAAAGAGACAAAAAATATCAGTCAAACATATGTCGAGCTGAGTTGTGGAGATACATTTTTGTTTTTCGCTGTTCCAGTTTTCCTGACTTTTTGGACTGTGGCTACGGTCATTTCACACAGTTGAAAACAGTCCGCACGTGTGAGTGGGCACTGCCACAAAGCATTTCATGTCCAAATTTATCGAGTGCCTTAAGTAAACAAATCGTGCTTTCTCCAAACCAAGAAACTTAACATCTCACAATATACATCATTACTGATGCCCAGAGATGCATTTCTGTAGGTGTAAAATTCAGGATCCAAGAGGTTCTGACATTCAATAATCTTAGACTGAGCTGAATTACTTCCTGTTTTCATTCAAATTCACACAGAGTCAAACAACATAGCGTGCCAACCATATACAGGTAATGGCTAATTTTTTGTTTAATTAGCATCTATGGAGGGCGGGGGGGTCCTTGGAAAAATCTCTCTCTCCCTGGACCTGAAAAGTTCGAGAACTATAGGTATCGTTTTTGAAACAACGCAAAACTACTTAATCACACTTGTAAACACAGGTAGCTAACTAGCTAGGCAACATAAAAGCAGATGCTTTTCAGAAGGAATTCAACTCTCCAACCCCCCCCTTGCCCTTCATTTTGCCTCTGGCCTTCCTACATCTAACAAGCCTTGACAACAGATCATTCACTTATACTGCACATAATTAACCCATCACACACACACACACACACACACACACACACACACACACACACACACACACACACACACACACACACAAACACACGCGCATAGTTTCGAAACGCCTATGCGCACATGCATGACTGCACACAAACAGACGTTTACACGCATCGCAGCGCACTCATTTCACAACCTCTGGGCGTTTGAGTGTGTGCGCGCACGCGCGCACCCCCGCTTACGTTCAAAATGGTTTCTTCGCTAATGCTACAATTGGAAAACATCCCAAAACCCGCTACCTGTCTGTGACCCCGGCTGCAGTCAACTGTAATTACGTCCTTTGCTTGTATCGTTGCGACAAAGTGCATGTACCCAAAGGTGCGCCACCGACTAAAAAGGCCGATGTCAGTTTGGGGATGATAAAAGCCGCGCTTTAAATCAACATCGCGAACCGATCTAAAAAGCTTGCTACTTCAAACCTGGTCTTTAAGACGCATTATGACTCCATAATTCAAGCGGTGTTCGTGCGGGCGACAAACAGAAACTCTGCGGCGTCGGAGGCGACCTGCCTGGGAGGCTCGAAAATAAAATGTGTGGCACGCTCTTGTTTTTTGTGTTTGAGAAACCCGATTCTTGTTCGAATATCGGTTTACGGTGCTACACAAACATGGCCGGGGGGGATGTGTTCCTTCTCCTTTGAATGTTGGCGGAATGATGGAACATTCCACAGGGCAAGCGATGCCTTGGGAGTGAATCTCTTGAAACGTCGGACCTGCGCGGCAGCACGAGCATTTAAATGAGGCGGATCAGAACACTCCAGGTGGTACACCTGTGTTCTGGAATGTGATCCAAATAGGCGAGAACTGTATCAAAAATTGGGCCTTTTAAGAAGTGGGACCTGATTTATGTTAATTGTTGCACAGTGTGCACACATTTTATGAGTGGTCGACCGTCAGCTTATATGCTAACACATAATGGGAAACACCATAGACAGGCTAAAAAGTAGCATCTGTCTGCCGATTTGCAGCACAAACTGTGACGCAAAACAGGTAATGTAACGATACTCACAGGCATATGTTCTTTATCCTCTGCGAAGAACAACTATTACACTCTTGGACATGAATAGAGAAAATCTCGGAATAATTGATGGCCATTATGATTGTGTAAATAAACAAAATAATAGACTCAATCCTTTCGCTATTTAGTTATGTTATTCTTGAATGCTTCCTAAAATAAATGTAAAAATGCTGTTTTTTGGGGGGAGCTGAAACAGATGAATGGCATTTCCATTCATTCTATGGCGAAAGATGATTTGAGACACAAGTGTTTTTTGAGTCACAAGCATTGTCAAGGAACAAATGAAACTTGTGTCTCAAGGCACCACTGTATTAGAAATACTTTGTTTTTTTTTTTTTAAAGGCAGAAAGTTTGTGACAGACAGGCCTCGCATTGGACACCATTCGCACATGTATGTGTGTGTGTAAGCATTTTTTTTTTTCTTACCAGTCGGCCAGCTTCGTTGTTGTGCAGGTCAACGAGTGTCCTGATGTCGCTTTTGCCTCGTCTCCTCTTGGCATCCATGAACTGTTTGGACTTCTCATAACCAAACTCCACGTCGTCTCCGCAACCGCCCCACTCCCACTTGGCCCCGTCAACGGAGGACGACGAGAGAGGTTTGGGCGGGGCTCTGTTCCTGGTGGCCTCGCAGCCGCACTGCAGCAGGTCCCCCATACTGCAGGCCTGGGTCACCGCGTGGCTCACGCCGGCTGCCGTGATGGCGTACACAAACGCCGTCTCCCGGATATCTGAAACGGAGACGAGCCTCCTGTGAGGTTCCACTTGCACACGGTCACCGGGGTGCAGGTGCTATTGTTGTCCACTTGGGGTCACCGTCAGTGACTTTGCGCTTTATTTTGAAGTGTAAAATGATCCCAACTTTGGGGATTGTTTTTTTTTTTTTTAGGGCACTGCCATTTTGTCCTGTACTGCCCTCTGCTGTCGAATAAAATTAACATCCAAGTGCTCTCGGGCTCGCATTGTGAACGTCACCAGACCAAACGGGGTAAACTTGCAAACTGCAACGTGGGCAATGCGAGCCCGAGGGAAGTTGTGGCATCCAATGTTTCTTCTGATGGAGATTGTAGCAGTGCTTGACTGTGATTTTATTTTCTGCGGTCCTTCATGAAAAAAGACAAAAGATCCAAGCATCCATTCTCCCGAGCACCTGTTCCTCCATCCGTTCAATCAATGTACTGCACACATAGCACAGGCACGTGGATCAAAGACCCTTCCACACAATCATTACTACATTCTCCAACATCATTTGGATTTGCAGTGCTGAGAGGACTCCACACACACACACGCACACACACACACACATACAGTGTGCAGACCACAGCTGCTGGTTTATTTCTGGTTCAGAGCTCGACGGTCTCGGCTAAAGGCAAGTCCGTCCACAACTGCAAATTGCCGTCTGTCCTCGGGCCCCCTTGCCATCATCAACACGCTGTTATCTCGACTCATTTCTCTTGACATGGAAGAGCTAGGAAAGAATCCGACAACTGGCCGAATGTGATTTCAATTTAAAGTTCCATTCCGCATTGGTGGAATATTCTGGTTTTGCCCAACGTTTCCTCACAGGAGTCTGGGCCCGCCCGGGGGTGCGACGGCTTTGAAAATGGACCCATAGTATGTGCTGAGAAGGACAAGGCAATATCTATGCACGACGAGGTGTAAAGGTCGCTTGTCTTCAGGCACGTGCGCACACATTTTGCGGGGGGGGCAGGTGCTCAAGCCGAAAAAAAAAAGGCACCCATCGCCAATTTAAGCAATTTGTGTGCTTGTTTCCGTCAACACAATCAACACTCATGAAAAGAGTAATCAAGAAATTGCATGACAAGAAGTTATAGTCGGAATAAAAAGTCTACACACCCCTTTTGAAATGGTAGTTTTTTTTTTTGTTGTTGTTGTATATGAAAATAACACGCAAATAAATCTCTGAAAGCTGTTTAGTTAACTTCTAATGTGTAAAACTCAATTGGGGGAAAAAAAAGAGTAAAAACTTACGATAACATTGTTGCACGAGTGCACCCCCCCCCCCCCAAAAAAAGAGGACAAAGGGAACGTTTTCATCCAGGGCAAAAGGGCAGGTGCTTGAGCACCACTTGGGGCTTATGTGTGCACGTGCCTGCTTGTCTTCAAGACTCCTTGGTTTCTGTACACAAGGCAAAAAAAAAAAATCATTTTTTTTCGATTTGCTGAATTAGCCGATATGCCCCCCCAAAAATCCGTGCGCTTCCCTTCTTGTCTCAGAAACGCCACAGTGCCAAAGGAACATCATTCCTCCAGTTACTCAGATTCCTCCTTGATCATGTCAACACTTGCTCACCCGACATTGTGCCGCACATCAAACCTTCATCCAGTCATCTTGTTATCATTCCCCTTGAGTTGTTCAGATAAGTGATGGAAGAACTGGCCCGAGTTCTGACATGGGCCCTTTCGTCTTGGTTTCCCTAAGAGGAGGCGAAAATAGCATGTAGTCCGGCGAACCGGCCTGCTCTCTTTCAGATTAAGGACGCGATTAGACAGCTGGCCAAATCCACTGCCACAGTGATCTTTTGCATGATGCACTTGTCATTTTCGAGCCCAATTTTTTTCAAAAGGAAATAATTTGGTGTCATAAAACTCATAGTATATTCAGCCCGTCTCACGTTGTCTTTGTCAAGGGGATTTTATCTCATTATTCCATTAGGAATACCGTCATGTTTGGATCAGAGGGAAAGCAAAAACAAAACACTGAACTAACGAGGTTGCACGAGTGTGCACACCCTCTTAGAACTGGGATGTGGCAGGTGTTTGCCGACTGCAGGGTTATATTAGCTTCGGATTGTAGTTTTGAATTTGTTTTAGCATCCACCCAGATAGTTTTTTTCGAGCGGGCTCGTTTAATTTTTATTAGTTTTAATTTTTTTCAAAAATGCTTTTGTTTAGTTTGTTATTAGTTTTAGTATTCATTTCAGTTTTTTTTTTAAATATATAGGGTATTTGTTCAAGTGCAAGATGGAAAAAGAAAGGTCATTTTGAATGTGATTGGTCAATTGTGAACATAGCAAGTTACAAGAGGATGTGGACATTTTGTGCAAGGAATGTTTTTTGTACTCCTTTTTTTTTAAACTGGCCTGTTTATAAACAAAAAAAAAATCTGTCTTTTGAACAGAGATGTCTAAACTTTTTATCTGCATTTATCCTTGATAGTGGGTAGCACAGCCAACTGTAAAAGTAAATCTTTTTTTTTTAATATTCCTTTGAGGTAACAACACTGTTGCTCCACTTAAGGCATGAATTTGCAAAAAAAAAAAAAAAAAAAATTTAAATAAATTTTAATTCACTTTTTTTTTCTTATACAATATGACAATGTTCAAGAAAAGTAAGGATAGTTTATGGACTGATATTTTAAGAATAGCGGTGCGTGTGTGTATCTGCGCGCGCGAGAGAGAGAGACCGCAGCCAAATTAAGTGACTTTTATGTCTTAAAAGCTGGAAGCGGGCGAGCGTGCAGTCACCACCGTCTCCCCTGCCAACTCCATATCTCACGATTCGGAGAATGGGATTCATTAGGAACGGCAACACGCGCACGCCCGTATGCGATGGGTGGCGCGCGACGAGACCGGCGCACACCAAAACCTTTACGATATCAATTCCAGCTGTGCGCCGCGCAAGGCGGCGCGATACCGTCGCGATACCGTCGCCGCGTGCGGCGAGTGCCTCGGTGTATACATTAGCGAAGCATCGTTTCAGTTGGGCTTGTAACGCTGCCATCTGCTCACATACTGAAGGGATGATGCGGTCGGTGTGTGGCGGAGAGCGCAATGATGTCACGTTGAAAAGAGCATCACAACGTCTGCGAAAAGAAGCGTGCGTGCGTGCGTGAGATATCAACGCGCGACTGAGTGAAAGTAAACAGGGGTATCAAAGTTTTTGCCATTGCCATTTAACGGGGGATTATTTTGTTCAAGATCTTCTTGGCATGTATTTTGTGACGTAAAACACAAGTCAGATGGCAATGATAATGCAAACAAACTTGTGGCTTTTAAACTTCAACTCATGAAGCTTCATGAAACAATGAGATGTCAATGGTTGCACTTGCTCAGCAGTCAATTTACCCTCTATCAATAAATACGGAAAATATACACAGGCTGTATATATAAAACATAGATGTAGAAAAAAATTAAGGCTACCGACTGAAATGAAGCAAATTACTTTTTCTGCCAACATTTGAAAATAAATATGTATTTTCTACACTTTGTCAAAATAGGCTTGTTGTATTTTGTTCCCCTCCAACTTTTTTTTTTTTGTGATGTTGTTTTGTCTTGCTGTTGAGTCCTAATTATCCTGTCAGAATTTAGCTTGCGGCAAAGCTATAACCAGCTTTTTTTTCCCTTCTTGGTTACAAGACAAGGGGAAAAAAGGCTTCTAAATTTAACAGTGTTGTTAACAACCCCACGGAATGATTAAAAAATTTTACATGAAGCTTCATAATTCGGTGACGGAAAAACATCCCCGAGTCATTGTGGGGCTTTTTTCACACGGTGACAATGAGGCACTCTAAAGCGAGCGTGTCAACACGAAGACGCTATCCACATTGCTGGTTGTTGAGTCTGACGTTTTCTGTTTATTTGTGTCCAGAAAAGATTTTGCTTTGTTTTGCCAAGTTAGCAAAACAAAAAATATCACAGACTGGCAGATTTTAGTTTGAATTTTGTTCTGAAGTACTGTACATGCATTTCAGTTTGCATTTTTTGCACACTTGGTCTTTCGTCATGGAGTTGAACCACATCTTTTTTTATGGGCGAGTACCAATACCAGATATCGGTACCGGACTGCTACCGGCTTTATTTTAAAGGTTTGGATACTCATGACACATTGGCGAATCTTCGTCTGCGTCAGACACAAAGCTCTTTGTTCACAATTTTTAGTCCTTGTGTTAAATGAAAATTTATAGATCAAAAGGTCTGAGCGGTATCGGTTCTCTGTATCGGTAGTCAATACTCTTACTGGTATCGGACTGATAAAAAAGTGGTGTCGAACATCCCTTACTCTTACTTTTTTTTTTTTTTAAACACAAATATAGTACTTTTGCCACCTTTCCTAATCTTAGTCAAACATTAACGGTTATTCTGTGTCATTTATCCGCAAGCAGTAGGAAACGATCCCACGAGTAACAATGAAACGTTTGGCTGTCGGAGCTTGTTGCGCTCGGTGGAAGCCATCGAAAAAATTGGAAGATACAAAGCGCCTTGTTTCATATTTTCCTTGGAGACATGAATTCCAAACAAATTCTCTGCCACAGCGGGTGTCTGGGCCTGTCCACGTCTGCTTCTAATTCCACAGGGCCCTTCTGCAGGAATTAGCGCATATTCTTTCAATCCTCTGACTTTTGGGCAACGGTACCGGGAGGTCTGGGATGTCAAAACAAGAATTACGGCGGCTGACATAATACCAATGTGTTAACTGTATTTTTTTTTTTTTTTAGCTTTGGCGAATTATTCGGTGACACGCAGTGGGTGGCAGACACCCGTCATCCAACACAAGAGAGAGGACAATCCGTTTCGATTGTTTCCAAGACATGCCTACTTTTCTTGGATTGGGTTTAGAGATCATCGCGTGTGGAAATTGCGGCGGCTCAGTTTAGCCTCAGGTATATTGATTCGTCATACGCTCACGATGATTTTTGCTTTTCCAACCCCGTTTGATTTATTTCCCCGAAACAGCTGCGCCTAATATTTTTCTGATGAAAGTAACCGATGACAAATGAAACTTTTCCCATCGCGACTGGATATGCTCACGTCGATACCCACCGCGCGCATCTCCGTCATGCCAAATTCAAATGATATCAACATGGGAAAGGCATTGATCTCTCGCTGCAGATGTTTTTCAAACATGATATATCGCCTGAATCATATTTGCTCATTCTGTTGTGTTGGATGATGTCAGTCAAACGAGTGTGTGTGTGTGTGTGTGGGGGGGGGGGGGGGGGTGAGAGAGAGAGACATGATTTCACAATCACAGATCAGTATGTTCCGCTTCTGTATGAATTTTACATTTTCTGTGCATTTTGGTTTATATCATCATAAACCTTGACCACTTTTTGTTCAGTATCTAGTAATAATAAATCCAATCTGCTAATCAGATTCAAGATAGTTTAGAATCTTTGGACAATATCACAAGTGTTGCAAAACTGCCTCTTCCTCAGCCTGCGCGAGCCGTGCAGCATGACGTTGCCTCGACAATGAAAGTCAAGATGTTTCGTTAGCCTGTTTTTGTGAAAAATAGATCACTGTAATGCTTTGGTACAGACGGAACTGGTCAGCAACGAAGGTGAATCGCATACAGATTCATTCATGGCAAAGAAACAGTATAGTCAGCTCACTGTTTAATTTCCTGCACCACCAAGTCCTCTGAAAAAGAGTTAGCGAAGATGGTTTGCTTTTGTGAAGTATTTCAATCAATGGCAACGTAATAAAATCGCCAATTTTTCTTTTTGCATTTTAAATAGCGAACGATGCCGTGTTTGGTAAGTTAAGCAAGAGGGCGTTTTTCATTTCCTGGAAAGCCATCCATTTGAGCATCGACCCGACAGCAACAATATGACCTTTTTTTTTTTAATTGCTGTATAATTTTATTTTAAACCAGCCATGGTGTGAAAAGGTTTTGTCAGACCAGGAAGAGGGTGGCTTTGATGGCAGTTAATAGGAATATTTCTTTCAAGAAGAAACATAAAAAGCCGTAAAAGGTTTCTAAAGGTTTTATGTCGAGAGGAGACCACATTGAGTGGCATCAATGTTGTGAAATCAATTAAAACTGTTGTTCTTGCAAATACACGCCTTACCCACACAACTGCACGCTCACTCACACACACACACACACACACACACACACACACACACACACACACACACACACACAGCTTGTTGGCACGTGGTCAAAATGTCGAACGCTACCCGAGGTTTATAAGATAGCCCGCGGATATTTTTGCAGAGGGAGATTAGAGTGATGTTTCAATCATTCATCTCTGTGTAAGCCTCCAAACAGCGCACGAATTAGTGCTAAAGCAAAACAGTACGTGCATCGTGCCAAATGTTTGCACGGTAGAATTTGTTCAAACACACACACACACACACATATTGCTAAAAGGCTCAATAATAGTCACGAAAAACACAACGACTGGGCAGAGAAAGAGTAAACGGAGCGTTAGAGTTTTTTGGACTTCAGTGCGGCGAAACGACAGTTATTCTAGCAGCGACCCAAACTCAAGTGGAAGAACCAAAGCGCGAAAGTGGAACAGAAGGAAAACGTCAATAAACAAGTTGAGTGCGATTTTTTTTTACGGTGGGATAACAGTTAAGACTTGGTCTCCCGATGTTTGAAGCCTCCCACTTTTCAAGTGAGCAAAAGTATTGGAACGCGTGTGAAGTAGGTTCACCCCTACGGTCCAAACGGGGAGAATGAAGAAAAGCAAGCGATGAGAGTCCACGTCCAGCATTCGATGTCGGCCTCCCGGTCCACAACGCGTCCTGGTAGTCCTCGGCAACTTCCGACCTCCGCGCAGGCCTTACTTGTGGCGTTAGCTTGTCGCTAGCGGCGTAGCAACGTCCATGCGTCCTTGTTAGCTTCTGTTAGCGGCTAATTCCGCCAGTGGAAGTTTTCTGTTGAGGAGCCCATTCAAACTGACCGATTCGTATCGCCGTTAACGTTTCTAAAACAGTCCCTGTCGAACACTTTGGCTAATAATTATTAAAAGTCCACTTTTCATGTACGCTCCGACAAAACGTTCTTCCACGTGTCCCGTGTCGTCTCTTTCTTGATCCTTCCACCGCTCACTTCCGGCCCTCTTTTTTTTCTTTTCTTTTTCCTGTCTTCCGACCTCCGCGCAGGCCTTACTTGTGGCGTTAGCTTGTCGCTAGCGGCGTAGCAACGTCCATGCGTCCTTGTTAGCTTCTGTTAGCGGCTAATTCCGCCAGTGGAAGTTTTCTGTTGAGGAGTACATTCAAACTGACCGATTCGTATCACCGTTAACGTTTCTAAAAGAGTCCCTGTCGAACACTTTGGCTAACAATTATTAAAAGTCTACATTTCATGTACGCTCCGATAAAACGTTCTTCCACGTGTAGCTGTCGTCTCTTTCTCGATCCTTCCACCGCTCACTTCCGGCCCTCTTTTTTTTTCTTTTTTTTCTTGCCCTCTGATTTCGGATGTGATTCGCTCACTTACGTAAGAAAGAAATAAAATAATTGAAATACACATTACAGGTATATCATTTTTGTTTCTTTTTCTTGGGCTATCACACCAAACACGTTTAAACCGAAATGATTATACAACAAACAACTTATTAGATATTTGAAAACATGATTCAAGCTTCCCATATTGAGAAACCTCATAACCTTATTGCTGGTCAATATATTTTTACGTTAAACCAAATTTCTATTTGTTAGACTCTGAACTTATGAATCCACATTCAACGCTTAAGTATTTTTTTAACGTGGTGACACGTGACTGATGAGTGTTTCAACTTGCTCGGATGTTGCCTTTCAAAATGAATCTTTAAACATTAGACGGTGCTTTTTTTGTAGTTGTCGTTGCTCTGGGTTTCACCTGTGAAAACTACACTTGCTGTTAAGCAAACATGAACACCGGAGAGCTGCCTATGGCAGAAAAGCAAACAATGCAACAATTTGGAACGCCCCGAAAAAGAACGACGCTCCTGGTATACCAAGCAACAGACAGCGAACGAGTCGGCCAAGGATATCATCAGCAGTTGATGACAGAAACAACGTGAGAGCTGTGAAGAAGCACCCGAAGGCAACAGTCAGTGACATCACTGCCAACCTCCACGGGGGCAGGGGTGAATCACAATCCGCTGCTCCAAAAAGACCTCCGGAGAAGACACTCAGGCCACGCCACAAGATGCAAAGCGCTCGTCAGCAAAAAGATAAATCGTAAGGCCAGATTGGAATTTGAAAAGATGTACAGAGATGGGCCACACAAGTTTTGGAACTCAGTTTTATGGATTGTTGACACCGAGATGAAACTCTACCAAAGTGATCTGCTGAGCATCCAAAAGAATGGTGGAGGTCATGCCTTGGCGCGGGCTTGCATGGCTGCTTCTGGAACGAGTTCACTAGTCTTTATTCATGATGTCACTCAATGAATTCTGAAGTCGACAAAACAAGAGTCAACCTAACCCAATCGAGCATGCATGCCGACTCCTGACACTGAAGGGAAAAATCCCCCTGCAAAAAAGCAAGAACTGAAAGCGGCTGCAGTCAAGGCCTGGAAAAGTGTTTCAAATGAAGACCGCAACACAAATCGATATCTCAATAGAACGATACCATTTTTTCCCCTGCAGACTATCCAGTATAGACCCCAAACCCTGAATGTACGCTATTACCCGGGCGGGGTGAAATGTCATCAGCCCTCCCACTCCAAAGGGGGTGCTGCGAGCTATTGGCAAGCTTTTGCTGCAATTTTAATGAAAGCAGAACAGAACACAAGCTCGCTATTTGGCAAGCGCAAAATCACTCTTGAGGTCTTATCGCACGGGGCAATCTCATTGAAATGTTCGGAGGCGTTGACAAACTGTTTGATGCCGCGTTTGTAAACGGTTTTATCATGTGTTGACGAGCGTGCCTTGTTTCTATTAGTAGAACATTCTGCAAGGAGGAAGACTTGTTTGAATGTGTACAACAGTCCTTACAAGTAGATGCAGGTCACTGAGTGCTGCAAAACAAAGGCGCAATTTGGCCTTTCTTATAGACAGGTAGGAATGTGTGATTAATCGCCCATCTGTCTTCTGCCAGTACATTCCTGCCCTCTCTTTCTGTCTTATTCATTTATAAAAAAAAAAAAAAAAAAAAATTATCTCCCGTATGATCACAGCCAAGACTCAAAACTCAAATGATGGAATATTACTTGATCTAAAAACGCTTAATTGCTGCCAACTTTGAAGTAGATGAGACCGCAATGGACTCAACTCTTGTGTCGGTAATGAACATTCCTTGCGCCCGTTGATTTAGCGCGCAAATAAAGGCCGCGCGGTGCCACTCAATGACCTCAATATGAACGTAATCACAGGAGAGGAAAAGCAACAAATGTCGGCGGTCTCGACAGCGACCGTATCGCCGACATCAAAGGGCTGCAGCAAGATGCTGATGGATGCTATAAGAGCAGATATTAGCTGATCATTTCAAGCATGCCCAGTCTGATGAAGAGGAGAAGCAGTCGCTTGTGACTTGGTCTGCTCTCTGAGACAAAAGCTGCTCTTGTCTTGGCGAGCGACATTAGACAGGCATCTGACCTGCAGTTGGCACGCCGATGTCTGGTGAGGTCAGAGGTTACAAACCCTCGCAACCTCTGAGTGGAAACCTGCACTTGGCATTATTAACATCCAAGCATCCATTTTCCGACATTGTTTTTTTTTTTTTTAATACAATACTGACCTGTATAATTTTTTCTAAGGAACCACAAAAACATGGTGCGATTGTCAAGAGGGGCTTTAGTCAGGAAAAAAAAATAAAGACTAAAACTGATCTTTTGCCATTAAAAAAAAAACAATCACAATCCAAAATGTTGAAGTTTTGTTTTCCCAGTGAAAGAAATGGACAAATTGCATGAATGATGACTCACCTTGCTGTAGAATTTTGCCAAAGTACTTATTGTGGCTGGTGCAGTTCCACCGGCGGTACTTGAATTGGTACTGGCACTCCCTGATGCCCAGCCTGGCCCCTTTGGCCACCTCGCTGACGATCTCCGGCTGAGTCTGACACAGCTCGGCCTGCTTCCCCACCAGGCGCTTTGCCTTCCTGCAGATGCTGTTCGGATCCATCAGCAGCGGACTGCCCACGGCCCTGCAGAGGATCAAACGATATTTGGAAGGAAGTCCACGAGGTGACTTTTGTGCACACTCAAAGGCCACTTTCGGCATTGTCACGTGATTGGGCGACAGCCGGTCGTGGGTGGCGGGTGATGTTTCAGCCAAAATGAGCGATAAAGGGGACATTGCCTGACCAGGACAAGACCTGAGGTTCACCGGCCGGCGATCTACGTGTCATCAAATGCACCCAATGGGCTGTTTTTCCTGAAAGTGGATTGAATTTATTCACACGCATCGTATCATGTGACAGATGCTAACGCCGTCGGCATTCATTGCAGCTACTGGTAACATTGCAAAACACATTTTTGAAAATGAAATTAAATAAAAAGGAGTGTTTTTTTTGTAAACAAGAACCAAAACTAAAACTACATGTATAAAATCTTAAAAAAATATATACATATATTTTTGTATTACTGTGCCCTAAACTGTTTTTGGGGAATACTTACTGATATATTTAAAAAAAAAAAAGTAACACATTCGAAAAAATAATCATGAGTAGCAATTCACAAAACAACTCTAATTAATCAATCAATCAATAAAAAAACTAACAGAATTTGAAAACCAACTTTCAAATCCAATTAAAAAAATAACTCCAATGAAAAATCCCGGGGTTAGAGCTGGGCATGTCATCCGTCTCTCAACTGCAGACTTGTGAAACCCTTGGGGAGACTCTTTTGGGACAAATGATTTGAGCGACGCGTGTTTGGAGAGCCCATCCCGGCTGACTGCGGTCAAAAGGCAAACTGCCCTCCGGATTGGTTGCCTGCACCATCAATCATCACCCACCCCCTCCCCTCTCAGTCAACCTCCACCTCGACTTTTCCCTGCATCCCAACAGATGGGCTCCATATCAGCAAGCATGGGGCGTGGTAAACCAAACGTCAGCCAAAAGCGGATTTTCACACACTTGCGCCTTGTCTCCGCGCATCGCCGACACCTGAAATCATTCTTCAGCCCCTTGAGTTTGTTTGCAGAAAAGGTAGAACAAACAATCTCGCCGGGAGGACCGAGAGCGAGACGCGCACATCTGTCGAGAACCTCAAGTCTGCAGCAAGACAAACCTACACGATCTATCGATTTGCCAAACGATCTCTCCGCATTGTATGTGTCATACAAACGGATACACTTTATAAACGTACGTGAGTGCCTGTGTAAATTAGCAGGTGCTAGAACAGTACTTAGCAACACAAACTGCCACTCAACAACCACTTATTACCTACACACTGTCATCATCATGTGCCTGTGTGTGTGTGTGTGTGTGTGTGTCTGCTTACGCGTGCACGTCACGAAGTGAGCTCAGATGGCAGCTCACAAAGCCAGTTTTACAATTGGAAGCAAGGAGCAGTCAAAGTATTGGAAGTGCAGTGGAACGGTGGCGCGGGTTAAGAAATTTTGTGTTAGGGCCTTTGTTGAGGAAAAAAAAAAAAGAGAAGAAAAGGTGTGTGAGGTCGCGAAACAGAATCCTGGACAATAGCGGAAGACTCAGGTGAATAGCGGATGTTAGAATTTCTGCAGAAATTGCGTGGCAATGCAATGGGAAAAAAAAATCCGGACGGATGCGGAATTCTATTGAATGAAATTTTGACATTGACATTTGTGGAAACTGGAGGTGAATGCGTAAAAAAAAAAAATTGGGGGGAAATTTTGGAATGTGAATGGTTCACATGATGGCTTCCAATGAGCTGATGATCGAATTTTGAATGGTAACCGCATGAATGCTTCGAATGCCTCACTGGGCATGAACGGCCATTTTTGGAATTTAAAAAAAAAAAAAAAAAAAGGGGGATCGTGGAAAAAAAAAATACAAGCCTGAATGGTGTGCTTTTTGGTAAAATGTTGAAATTGGATTTGTGTGGATGGGATGAAAAACATGGAAGTAGTTCCCCACCACAATCAAAACTTGACGCTGCGTATTGGGATCACACCTTCAATTGAGCACTTGACTTGCAAATTCTTTCCAACTATCCTGGTAATCCCCCAAAGAGCCAGTTTGATTTTTTTTTTTTTTGTGACGGGCAAACAAGACAGAAGAGCAAATCTGAAAAAAAAAATGGAGCGAAGAAGGGTGAAGGAGTTCATTGCTCGAGGGAGATATAACCAAAAATGGGGGTGCATCAGTCAGCTCATGCCATGAGTGTGAGCCAAGCATTCTTGCCCTTGTTTGGAGACGGGTACTCCACGTCAAAGCAAGGTGAGACTCATTTCAACATTAAATAAATAAATAAAATAATCAAAATTATTATTATGATATTGTTGTCATCTTTAAGACTTTGTAGTTCATTAATTAAAAAAAAAAAATATATATATATATATATATATCGAAACTTTCTTTCCGCCATTAATTTGACCTGCGATCTCTACATATCAATTCAAGACCATAACCCTTCTTTTCAAGAGGGTGCATAAAAATGAGGTGAGTGCACAAGTGCGCACACCCTCGTAGAACGCGGATGTGGCTGCGCTCAGAATCGACTGCTTACATTTTTAAACTCATCTCAAACGCACACGGCTGCTGCCATTGAAAGAGCCCAAATAAAGTTCAGCTGTTCAAGCGAGCCTTTCCTGATGTCATTTTTTTGCTTTCTAGCAGTCCTTACTGAAACACCATCAACTCGAAAATCACAAAATTGCAACGATGAAGAGCTGACTCACAAGTAGCACACACGCAGCTTGCGGACAAAATCTTGTATAAACCAGCAGAATATTTGCAACTATCTACGCAGGTGCAAGCCAACGCACACGCGCACACACAGAGTTACACAGTTAAAAGCCTGCATTCACTCGTTGGCCGCCACTCGGATCCCGACGATACAAAGTGCCAGTGTTCCTCCGACTGTCATTTATGACAATCCTCCTACGCAGACAATGAAACAACCGCGAGGAATTTACAGGAGCCGAAATTAAGGGCTCACGAGTAAAATCTGTCTCCGTGTGACATCCAGAACGCCGTTGGGGGAAATAAAACGAGAAAGAAAGAGAGAATGAAACCCACACAAGTCAGGCCTCGACAGTGGGAGTTCAAAAACGGCTCTCGTGGAACATTTGGGGAATGTCCTTTGATATCTTTTACGATTTGCGGCTGCCTGCTCACAGCGAAGAGGTTTGCTCCACTCGTATAAATGCCGCGAGTGCAAAGTCATGAACTTCAAAAATCGCGATTAAACGCCTTCCCCGCCTAATCCTTCAAGTATGCTGCCGATGAAGACGGCGGTCACGGCAGGCGTCAAGTCTTGACAGTCGGGCAGAAAGCCGAGCGAAGGCAACGAGCGGCTCGCGAGACGGCGGCGGAGCTTCGCGTGCAATCAAAGTGACGGCAACGTTCAACAAAGACATCGAGCATGATGGGAACTTTTGAAGAGTATTTTTAGAGCTCAATTCTCACACATCGGGATCATGACACGGAGGAGTTACCTTGCCAAGATCCTTGTGTGAGCTACATGGTTCCCTGTGGAGGTTAGCAAATTCATCGCATATCATTTGCTTGATCCCGCTGCTTTTTGATCGTTTTTTTGCAAAGCAAACAATATAAAGAGCAGCAATAAACAGCACCAAAAAGTAAATCAAACACTGTCAAGTTTCTGAGCCAGTAAATGTCAACATTCCAACGTCAATGCGGCAATCACATCCGCGGTTACATTAGTATTGTCTGTCTACATGTGTTGCTCAACTACGTGTGGTCAAGTGTGAGCAGAGACGATTTTTTTCCTTTTTTTTTTTTATACTTTATAGACAGCACTGTAAATATTTCACGCCTGCCTTCAAATGAATCATTTGATCAAAACTTGGACCTCATATCAGACTTAAGCCCTTTCGAGTCATTTTCCGTCTGCGGCCTCATGGAATGGTTTTACTGGCAAAGTGTTCCATGAGTGAAAAAAAAATAAATAAAGATTTGTGATGGGCCCACTGTGTTCTGTCAACGGTGATTCGTTTGTTAAAAAAAGAAGCAAAACCAGATCCCATTTCCTCATCCACCCAATTAGAGACTCTTGGGTCTCGTAGCTTCTGCAAGGCATCAAAGCCAGAAACACCAACAGGCGAGCACCAAAGTCCAATTTGCCTGCGTTGACACGTCTGATTTGCTTTTGCAAAGCCAAAATGTCAAGACAACCACGTTGGCCCTTCTCTCGAAATTTCAACATTCTTGGCTCATTTTCTGGCAACGAGGACATTTGAAAGCCGATAAAAAAAAAAAAATGGCAGGCGGGCCCGCCGAACAAGCACAGACACACACGCGTCACAGTTCACGTTAACACCTGATGCCGAACCCACATCAGCCGTCATTTAATCTTTATCTGTTGCCATCTCTCGCCCTCTGATTAGATATCAGGCTTTCAAGACGAGCAGTGGACAAGATAAGATCTGCTACACTCACGTCGCTTGTGAATGCAAAGCGTGCGTGTGCATGTGCACGCGTGCGCACGCGTGTGTGTGTGTGTGTGTGTGTGTGTGTGTGTGTGTGTGTGTGTGAGCGCGTGCGTGTGAGATGACACGGGATTTACTGACTGGTGGTGTATTTAGACTGACACACACATCAATACAGACAGCGGAGACGTCTCACGTCCAAGTTTGTGTGACCACCTGCGGGCCGACGGCACACTCCATGCAGGCTGTGTGCCAAAGTGGGATGCACACGCACGCATTCACACACACACACTTAAAAGTCGCTGTAAAAATGAAATTAAAAAACGGGCATTCTAAATTTGACACCACAGGGAAGAGAGTTGCAAACCACCTTGCCCCCCAAAAAAATGGCAAATGAGGCTTTATAATTGATATAAAAAAAAAATCATAATAATAATAGTAACGAAACCATTGTTTCTGCTCTTCAAGTTTGTGGGCGTGTCCACTGCATACACTCAAACCACACCCCTCTCAATTGTCAACTGTCAATTAAATACCAGTAGTTTGACCTGGAATATTTATATGACACATGTTTGAGCTGCAGAAATATATCTGCTGAAAGCCTCGTCACGAGGTTTTTCCACACTGCAACAACAAGGCACTCGCGCAGAAAGGAGCCGCGTCAGCCGGTCCACACGCTAGCTCTCACGTTGGACATTTTGCAGTCTGATTTTGCCTCGCTCTTTTGCCTTCTCGACACCATGCGGGCACACTCGTCGCCTCCCCTCGCCATTTCCGCCTTTATCTTATTTCTGCACCCTTGCCAGACAATGAGGCGCTCTAAAATGGCCACACCAGCAGACTATCAGAAAGGAAGATTTTTTTTTTTTTTTTTCCAAGAGCTAGCGAGCTAACTGCACCTTGCAAACAAAGGCATTCAAGTCATTTTACAGGACGGGTACTCATGCGTTAGCCAAAGTTCCTCACTAGGCACCATTTTAGCCGAGTCCCCAAAATAAAGAAATGGTGAAAAACAGTCGACATTAAACCACAATCAATTTTTTCAGTTTTTCAACTCGGTTTTATTCTGTCTTTATTTCTAGGGTAATTCCACTTTCGGCCACTATGTGGTGACACACCTTTGTTTTACACTGTGTAAATTTGAAAGAAGAAGAGTGAAAATAAGAAGTAGGCCTGTTTCAAGATCAGACAATTTATATGCTAAAGATTATTCACTGTTCAATCCTCTGTCATCCTGCTTTTTATGATTACAATAAGTGACGGTTCTTGGTTCATTTGATCGTGTTTACTTTGAGCCTGCTTATTATGATAAGATCATTTTGTTTGGGGGGGAAAAAAAATGGGATTTGTTTTCTGTAAACCAAGGCATCATACAAAGCACCTGTTGCTCTTGCTCTCTCTCACTATATCTTTTTAAATGTTTGTATTATTCTAAAAGTCTGTTGAAAGACCTTAAATAAGTCTTGTAAAAGCTCTGAGAACTTGAAAAGTTGGCCCTGTTTAGGCCCATGCAGCGGTCACGAGTGGCAGGAGAGAGCAAAGGCATTCCTCCTGCATGCGAGCTGTGCCGTCTGCTCTCGAGCCAAATGATTAGAGCGCCGTAATCAGCGAGAGGCTCTGAAAGGACGGCGAGCTATCTCGCAGCATTTTCATCCCTCTTCCAGTCTCTCCCTCTGCTCAGAGTATTTACGTCACAGGCATTTCCCTACGAGGCAGGCGAGACAAAGAGAGACTTGAGAGAGGAGCGAGCGAGAAAAAGCGCCGCAAGAAGTGTACGATAGGTCGCCCGGCGCTTTTCAAACAGAGCACATCATTGTCCCGGGGGAGATGCACAGGTGTGCTTTCGCCCTCGCTGCGCCGCAGTCTGCTGCGGACGAGTGAAAGAAGATGACAATATATGTCAGTGGGGATGAAAAGGAAATAGATGGTATCGCTGCTGATTGCTTTAATCCAGGGGTCACCAACATAGTGCCCGTGGGCACCACGCGGTCCCCAAGGGCCGCGTCATTAGCCCGTTTGGACCCGCTCGCAAATTCCGCCACTGAGATGCGTCAACTTCTTTGAGTGTTGCTTTTCTCTTTTTAAACTTTTTTAAACACTCAGTAAGTTGCATTAACGCGAGTTGTTTTCGATGAGGATAAAGAATATGTGATATTTTCTCTCACGTGTCGCTACACTGTTGCTTATAGGATTCTAACAACTCGCAATTGGTTTCTCTTGTTTACGATGAATATATGCCATCCTGCATGTTCACTCGAACACAAAACTACCAACAAACCTCCTTTGGCTATTGCTAGTTTGGAAAGGAATTCATCTCAGCTTCATGACAAGTAAGCAGCGCGAAGCATTCCAGAAAAACTTCAGGTACATTGACGTTCTGTCTTGGTGCCATGGCGACTCACGTTGCACAGTCGGGAACATCGACAACACAAACCAACGCTCACTCAACATGTAGTCGCCGTGCTCCGAAGCCAAATCCGAGAATGTGGAGAAATGACACTCAACAGAGTCAACCAAAACTGCACAATGAGAAAAACAAAAATGGAACGAGAAGATACAAAGCATCTTGGCATGAACTGATCTCACTCACTCCTTTGCCCTCAGGTGTTTATTTTGTGTGTCGGTGTGTGTGTGTATATAGACTCTTTCACAAGGGTATCTATCAGTGATGATGAATATAATGACGATGATTAAAAAAAAAAAAAAAAAAAAAAAAAAAAAAAAACAATGAAGGGAACATATCGCCAAAAGCGGTACACACCGAATGTAAGTTTGACTGCTGTTACTTTGTATTTGCATGACAATAAAGTATGTGCAGCTGTTACGTAAGACTGCAGGGATTCGGGCTGGGGAATTCATTGATGCTTCTTTGTTATTGCCATTTTGGCCCCTCATGATCATTAAAAATGATCAGCACAGTTCGGCGTGTGTCGAATGTTATTCTGCCCTCTGCGCTTTAAAATGTTTATTGACACTAACCGCACAACAAAAAGAACAACACGCATCGTATTCGCTATTTAAATACAACACAAGCTTTGTTTTCGAAACATTGCTAGCAGTCAAAGGAAAAGTCCACGGATGGGCGAGCAAATTTCAATTTCCAATTGAGGGGTTCGTTGCTTATAAATAGATGGCGCTACAATAAGAAACGGCAAAAGGAGAGATGGACTCCGTTTGAACGCAGCTTTACTCCCAAACATTTGCACCGCAGTACGATCGAAAACACATTTTCTCGGCAACTGAATCACTTCCTGCTTTCCTTTTCTTCAGCCAATCTGAAGCTATCAACATAAAAACATGTCGAAGCATTTTTTTAAACAACAGAATGTAATTTAGAATGAAATAATATGATGCTCAACCATTAAATGACAACAATTAATAATAAAACATAAGCGTACATCAATATCAATCGTAACTTCTCAAGCCAAACAAACAATTGGGCACCAACGCGTTCTACTCGTCTGCAACCAGACTTTGGATCCAGCAGGTAACATGAATTTGCTCAACCCAATCTAGTTCACAACATACAGAGAGAGATTCAAGTTAAAGCCGCAATAGGTTCTGTCGCCCCCTCTGGCGGAATATTGCACATTACACCATGAGAACCGTCGCTTTGCTATGACGTCACATATACCCTCACGTAAATTACTTCAACATGAGAAAGCACAACACCAGCAAATTTGGTTTTGATGATCGTCAGACAAAAGCAAAGACGGCATGCCCAGCACACACAATCAAGGCAAATGTGCCCACTCCCCAGTTTTTGCTCAATGTGCCTCAACAGCACACACAACAGATTCCATTAGGGCTGGCAACGCTCTCGTCGACATTGTTGTGACTTCCCGGCGAGTTGATTACAACGCGTTCTCATCGCTTTCCAATACGCTGTTGAGAAAAGTCATCCTAAGGAGTGCGAGTTGGCTTTCACTTGTGACAGGACCCAACACAAGTGCCAGGCCATACAAAGAGGCGGGCGGGCGCAGTGCATTCGCACCCTCTTGGACGCCACCGCCCACGCTGACCTTGACCGAGATGGTCAAGTGGGAGGATTGGCTGCAAACGAATCCCAAAAGATTGCGCACCCGTCTTTTGAGTGCGTGTGTGTATGTGTGTGCAAGCCGCAAATGAAGACAAACGACGTATTCCGAAGGGAAGCAAAGACAAAGGCAGATGGACAGAAAGTATGCTGTCTGTCTGTCTGTCTGTCTGTCTGTCACACACCTTGCTGAGCTGAGCCTGCGGATTGTTTTATGATGACATATCCACTGCGCCCTGAAGGGCCACCTGACATTCCTAACTCTGACCCCAAACACACACACACACACACACACACACACACACACACACACACACACACACACACACACACACACACACACACGCACACACACACACACACACAACTGCAGGCAATGAGACGACAGCTATCACCGCCCACTTTCTTTCTTTCTTATTTCCTATTCTCCAAATGCTCAAGTTCTCCATAAACAAAGCCTTTTCCCAACTTTAAATCAGCAGAAGACAGACAGATAGACAGACAGAAATATCAATTTCTAAGAATCATGGATAAAACTTACACCCAAAATGCAAAACAAATTCCAGGTTCCTACTTACCCAATAATTAAAAAAAAAACAAAACTGGTTTGTCCAAATAAATCTTGAAAAATTCCAGTCATCCCGCCAATTAATACTTTTTTTAAAAAAACACGTTTGTCTGATGAAAATGATGCGTCCCAAGACATGAAAATAAAAATGTCTTGAAATAAATTCAATAAATGTAAGTTTAAAAAAAATCATAAAAACGATTAATTCTGAGCCAAAGTCGTTATGTAAATTCCAGTTTTCTAAAATTAAATAAATCACGCACACACACACACACACACACACACACACACACACACACACACACACACACAAATCACATATCAAACATTTCAGTGCTGCTAAAAAATGTCTGAGCAACAAATTCCAGCTACATTCTGGAAATTCAAACATGACAAACTTTAACATTAAACCATAGACAATTATTTTTTTCAGTCCCACAAAAATCATGACAAATGTCCCAAGACAAAAGATGGTTTAAGTTGACAAAAAACTCTCATGAAATTCAAAATGTCGTTTAAAAAAACAGAGTAAGTTCAATTTTTATCATTATTCAGCTTAAAATGTACTCTCCAAATAAATGTGTTTATGATAGAGTTTATGATAGCTAGATAGATAGATAGATAGCTAGATAGATAGATAGATAGATAGATAGATCGAGCGCAACTCTGTCTAGTTGCGCGTAGCGCCACAAAACTGCGCCACGCATGTGCGCGCAAAACTCAAAAGTTGCGTTGCGGCCATAAAATATTCGTCACTTGACATACAGTATATTGATTTGACTTACCACCACAATCCGATGATGTTGACCGGGCAAAGCAAGATAAAGAACAGAGCCAGTTGGGGCCGAGACAGGCGAGCCGACATGTTTGAGTACAACTGTACAACTTCCAGCTAATTTTTGGATGTCAAAAAAAAAACAAAAAAAAACGGAATCCTCCTCTTGTTTTTTTTTTTTTTTTTTTGGTGTGCAGAAAAGTGTCAAGTCAATCAAAGTTCATCATCCAGCTCCCCTCCTGTCGGCCGCATCTTAATCATGCGCGGCGAAGTCGGTCAAGAGGTGACACAGGCGAGGTCCGAAGGGACGCTTAAGCTCTCCATGGTCGCTCCGGTTCGGTCCCGGTACAAGTTCCCCGACGTGGCGAGCCCAAAACGCGATCCAAACGTGGCTTCTCCGGAACCGCCAACGGAGCTTCATCAAACATCACCCCCACCCCACTCCACCCCCACCCAAAAAAAAAAAAAAAAAAAAATTCAATCCAAAAGAAGACGTCCGATGATGAGGAGGAGGCACAGCGGGTGGATCGGTGGTTCCGTTCGGTTGCTCCGGCTCGTCTTTTGCGCTTTGGAAATGACTCACAGGAGGTCTTGCAAAGGAGGAGGAGGAGGAGGAGGACCACGGTGTGTGTCAGTGTGTTTTCTTTGGATGATGAAGGGAGGAAAAATGTGGCCGTCTTCTTCTCGCACCTTAGTGTGACGTCGCTCCAGGCGTGGCGGAGCGAGCAGAGAGACGAGACGCGACGAGGAGAGCTGAGACGCTGCAATTAGCTGCGTGGAGATCCGCCTAAAAAAAAAAAAAAAAGGGCAGCAAGAGGCCAAAACACACACGATCAGCGTAAACACGGCTACAATGAGACTTGATGTTTATGGTGGAGCCTGCTGGAATGGGCTGACGTCATCGCAGGTGTGGGGTACCTTTGATATTTTCGCAGCCCTCATCGAGGGCAAGAACACGTGAAGTACGGGATCAAAACTGCTTTCACCTGGATGTGCGCCTGCGGGGGTGGTCTGCTTCACCTCAGAAGGTTCCGGGTTCGAATATTCGTGCGTTTGCGTGCGTGGCTCTCTTCCGCGTTTCATAAACATGAATTAATCTCAAACGGGCTGCCACCAATTGAAAGACTACTTCCTCGGGAGAATAACTTTTTGCCATCATATCAAAGCAAGCATCACAAATATGCTCCTGCATATACTGGCTTTGATTGTGTATACAGTGCATGGACCCTCAACATTCGCAAATTCGCAGATAGTCATTTAAAAAATAAACGAATCCTCCATTTTTCATGGGAAAACTCACCCATTCACAATTTTCTGGAACAGGGTGTAAAAAAGGCATCACATCATCATCACAGAAAATTCTATATCCCTCAAAATTTCTTTCTCAAAAGAGATTTGTGGGCTCGGGATGGCTTGAACAAAGTTGACTCCGAAAACAAACGTTTTCTAAATAACGGTAGCGACCACAACTTTTGGATTCTTCCGGAAGCCAGCGCAGAATTCTTGTCGAAGGACAGTGATTTACTTGTAAAGATGCATTTAGCATTTCGGAAAACGGCGGCCAGTGCAGCCGCACATATTGCGCATACCAGAAACTGCCACCGTGCACGTGTGTGTGTACACCAAAACATTCGTGTGCGCAATCGTTTCAAATGGCAAAATTTCAATTTTCGATCTCGGTTGGGGCTCAAAACCTTTTTACCCGGTCGCTCCCCTCGCCACCTCCCGTTTCACACGACGCATTTCTTCCACTTTCTTTCTCGCTGTCTCTTTGGGCCGCTACTCACTCGCAATTTCCCTCACTGCTGGACGAGTGTGTTTTGTAAGGGAGGGCTGATTTTTTATTTTTTTTTCATACTTGGCCGAGGCTTTACGGACAATAAAGATCTGATTTCAAAGTCCAGCAGGGTGTTGGGCCTGGGGTCTTGGCTCACAGCTTTAGTTGCCTGCTGGGAGGAGACACGACACGAGCGCTAACCAGATGGCCATCATCAGCATACGTCCAGAAGATCCGCACGGTACATCATGTATACGGATCGAATTCTTGTACATAGGCGTCCACAACGTCATATTTCACCTTGTTGCATGCTTGCTTTTTTTTTTTTTGCGTTTCTGCTGTGAGGGTCAAGAAATGACAGCGCCGAATAATGGGCGTTTGCCGGCCATTTTGCAGCCGCCTACCTTTGGACCGGTCACAATCGGCGTTGATGCAACAAGCTGCTTCATGCAAGTTGATACTATTTGTCAACTGGAATGCAACGCGTTCCTGCCATTCATGCAAACCTTTGGGTCAAGTGGGTCTTTTCAATGAAGAGGGTCTTTCCGGATGAGTCACGATGCTCTAATTGTGCTTTGAGAACAGCTGGCGGCGGATGAGTTAAGTCCATAGTCTGTACTTAGGTACACCAGTATGCGTAATTGTACTAAAGTACAGACTTTGGAGTACTTTGGCCACCTGCGCCGTGCCTCCATCGTGCCAAAGTCAACCTGAAAAGGAAATAAATGACCTGCTAGCGTACAACGCCAGCGCCTGACCGCAAGTGCGCAACGTGCTCCGTAGGATTCCCCCCGTTGCGAGCAGGTGGACGCGCTGGTTCTTGATTTTGGAAGGAATGTCCAAAACCACTCTTGCTTTCTTTTCCCCGAGAGCGTACGGCTCACTTGCCTACTTTCCAATTACCCCCGTTATTCACGGCGTGACGTTTCCGTCATCGCCATCGTCATCACCGCAGAGCCGAGAGGCGTTCCAAGATGTCCCGCGAATTTGCAGGACATCTGCAGGGATGAGTTTTGTGATTCGGTCCCAGCTGGCAATGGATACCATGTGCTGAGAATGACGAGCTCATTTTGTGACATTATAGTTGTAATGTTCCAAATACGTTCACATACTTACATTCCCTCAAGGGTCAATCCTTGGACCCCTCTCGTTCAGTCTGTATATGCTACCCTCGGGTTAAATTCTTCCGAAAGCCGATGTTGGTTATCATTGGTATTTTGCTCCAAAGACAGCTCGCATCTTGAAGAAGTCACACATCGGCTCAATCGCATGTCAGGGCACGGCTGTATCCTTGTTTGCCGTCATGACGACACAAACTCCAACACCCTTTTTGCATGCTTGATCATCTCCAAGGAGGGAGTCACCCTCTTTCATTCTCCTCCAGGGTTCTCTCCATCATTTCTCACACTAACCATGACAAAGGGAGAAAGGCTCAGAGGTCAAGTACATGTTGGAAATGTATGATTTCTAATATCGAGCTGTACAAACAATATCGTCCGCGCTGACCTGATATGTCCGGACAGAAATCATGAGGATAAATAACGACGTGCAATAATGTGCTGTGTGGTTGCGCTGGAGTGGGGGAGCATCAGGCCGGGTGATAAAGGGGGTCCCCTCCCTCCTTCCGCAAATGCTAACACAACCAAACCCGTGTCCTACCACACCTATCGCACACATGCCTGACACACATCCGCCCCCCCCCCTCCCTTTGCTTTCATTTGGGCGTGAAATGGATCCCTACTGTCAGCCAGAACGCACCACCTACAGTATCTCTTCATTGTAATTCCCCTCCACTCTATTTTTCTCTTTACTACACACGTGCCTCTTTGCTTCCCACAAAATGTGGCGGGGTGGGGGGGGAACAAAAATAATGTTGAGTCTTTGTTGCCAAATCCACAAAACAAATTCCTGGGCGATTATGATCAAAAGTGATTCGGAATCCCATCTGAGGTGATACTTGATGTGACAGCTCAAATTAGATCCGATGCAGAAACTCGTGACAGCCTGAAAACCCTTGAAAGCAGCCGCAGCCGTCACGGGGAAGTCCACGCAAGAACTATGCCCGACGCGCATCACGTGAAGGAGACGATTGGTCGAAATTGGCGCGAAGTCGCAACGGAAGGACCAGGTGGTGCAAACGATGGTCAGGCTAGTAACATTGAACGGATCAGAAAGTGATCTCATATCCAACATATCATTTGGAACTGCCGTAGGGATCGGAATGGTTGTGTTTTGTGATGCAATAGCTTTGCAAAGGCAGAGAAAGCAATTGCACTCAAACTATTTGGGGTTCTTCTTTGACGGCGAAGTCGTAAAACACGACATAACAAGGGATCGATCCAAATCGGGTGGGAATGTGCCAGCATGGAATCATTTACGTCAAATATATCGTTGGTCATCAATTTCTGCCAGTGCCATATATTGACAAGCAGTGTTATTAACCTGCGTATAGACACTTGCTGACATTCACATAGAGCAGAAGAAAAGCTTCAAGGGCAACGACACGAGCCACCGTTTGCTCACCGAGTCAGGATTTTTGTGAATCCATTCAGATGGGATCGTCATTTGGTGACATTTTTTTACGCGCTGGTGTGCCCAGAGATCTTTGCAATGTAAAATATGTGTCTTGGTCTGATAAAGGCTACGAAACACTGGCCTGCTCGATTAGATTACGGGGCAGGTGCGGTGAGAGAACCGATACAAATGTTGCCAAGTAAGCATGCCTGACTGAATGACTTGCGTCCTTGCCTGCCTGACTCCAGCAGGCAAAACTGTACTGGGCTTGCCGAGAGTTCTGTTCCATCGAATTACTGTCATGCGAGGATTCCTTGCCAGTTATTAATGAAAACTGCCGCCTTGACACCGTCGAAAGAAACAGAATGACGAGAAATAATCCACAAAATCGGATAAAGTTTCAGTCAGGCGGCGTGGGCCAAAGCAACAGGAAGAAATGATGTACCTGGAGTGGCAATCAAAGGATTGTTTGCATTGCGCGCCATCTAGTGGATTTAAAAGGACACTTCAAATTGTTGACCTGCCGTCGTCACGCCCACTAAATTTGACTTCATGGGCATTCCGCTATAATCTCCACTCCGCCACCTGCTATCGTTAAGCATAAGTATTTAGCAGACATTTTTTTAATTTGATTTCATAATGTTAAAGAGTGTAAAATTAAAAATAGAAGAGTAAGCACTGTTGACACCTTCTCCATCATTTTAAAAGTGGGCCTTCTCAGCTAATAAGAGAGGAAGTTTCTGACATTCCGAGGTCCAGAGGCAACGTAGTACAAGTCAGTCACTACAAGTATGAGAAATACCTTTAGACCAGAAATATAACTCAATCAAAAGATAAGAGTAACTGAGCGTGCCTTCCTTTGCTTGTGCCATTTGCGCATAATCGTCAACAACGTCGTAAAGCAAGGACGCCTGAACCGCACACGACTGTGAAGTCTGACTGAATTGCTCCATGGTGGCCACCAGATGGCAACACTCATGCAGGGACCGCCGCAATGGTCACCTTTAACCCCTAACACACAAATCAAAATGTGTGTAATAATCAACAATGTAAAATGCGGCAGTCAAATGAAAGCGTTTTATTTACGACATGTACAATGATTACAATTTAAATATGCAGATCATGAAATGTGTGCTTTGTTATTTTCCCCATTTAAAAATCAACCTCAACTGTCTCTCTTGAGCAGTTTTAATACATTATATGACTGAAATATGTATATCAACAAACCTAAATGCATTTTACAATTTATGGAAAGGAGTTAGTGCTTACCATGTTAGAGCTTGGGTACATTGAGTGCATGTTAGGTGAAACGCTCGATGAAAGAAGTCGAATATGAGATGGCATTATACAGATATCATATTTAACTTGTGTCTGTATGATGTTCTGATGATAGCTCGGCATGTGTTGGTTTGTTTTGGGGTGTCTCCTTGTCATCCTTCTTGCCTTTGGCAGTGGGGTACCTCCTGGATCTAAAGGAAGAAACATCATCTGAACAGATTTGCTTAGAAGAGGTTTTCATTTAATTATAGGGGACATTTTATTGAAAAAGTACATATCTATATTTTTTAATTGTTTGTATTAGTGCCAGCCCCCCCGTCAGGAGAGAAATGAAAACATCAAGCAAATCATTTGGGTCATGATGTACGGTTAAATGTGCCAGTGGTGACTTTGCGCAAGCGCCATTCATTTGCAGTCTGGACACAAAGGGGTGAAAGACGACACCCCAGCCAACCATGAAAATAAACGCGATGCATTTTAAGTTGTGAAACGTGCAGCACAACGGGTCTACTTTAATTGCGATGAATATACGAGGAAGGTGTCTTTACCTGATAGAGACATTTGGCGAGGACACTCTGTGATGCTCGATGAGGTCCAGATCTCCTCTGGCTGCCTCCATCATCACGTTCTGGAGGGTGTTGAGTAATATATCGTTGAACACGCCTACCGGTATGTGTTCAGGGCGCGGCGCCATTTTCGGCCTCATCCCGGAGCCTCCCGCTGTTCCCGAGCTGTCAGAGCGAACGTGAAGATCGGGATTGGTCTCGTCCAACCCGATAAGCGGTTGGGGGATCGGCGACGGAGTGGAGAAGATGACTTTCGGCTTGTAGAAAAGGGGCTTGGATGCCAAAGTAAGCAGAGACTGGGAAAAGGCGACGTCATCCAATATGCTCCTAGGAAGAAAGAAGGAATATAAAATCACCCTAAAAGTACAACATTTTTTTTTTTTTTTTAAGTTTTGAGAACCACTGCCCTGGTAAACTGAATGTGAAAGCTGAGGGTTTTTTTTTTTTTTTTTTTTAAGTTTTGACAACCACTGCCCTGGTAAACTGAGTGTGAAAGCTGAGGCAAAATCAAGAAAAAGCTGAACTATGAAGAAGTACACCTGAAACAAGACGCACGAGTCAATATTGCGTCTGAATGGGAAGGCTCAATGATCATGATGGAGTCCATTGATAACCACCGGGCTTTCTTGCGCTCGTCTTGTCTTCAAAGGATGACATTACCTGATCAGAGACGTGATGACATGCTCGAGGAAGTGTCGCTCAGGCCCCAGCGTCTGCAATGGGCGCCCCTCTTGAAGTAGCGTGTCCGACAATATTTTAGGCCTCAAAGGTTTGATCGTTTGGAAACACCTGTCGGCAGAAAGCAGACTGCCATGATGCTCTAAAAGTAAGAGACACTTATAAAATGCTTTAAAAAAAAAAAAAACACGGTAGTTGTGATTTGGGTTTTTTTTCTGTTAGCCGTTCGTTAGCTGCTCTCATCAAAATACATTAAAAACAAAGAATCAGCAAAGAGTTGTGGCGAAACTCAACAACACAAGTTTTGGAATCACTTCTTGAAAGGTTCAACGGTTTACCTGAAGCGATTATTGAAGCGGTTGGGAAAATATCGGCGATATTCCTGCGACTGATAGGAGCGCGCCGTCACCTCCACATGAAGCAGCGTAGGCTGAGGCGCTGTCGGGCGTTTCCACACTTTTACTGCTTCAGACTGAGCCCGCTGCTCGGCTCGTGCTACCCGGCTACAAATAGGTGGTAGAGTCACCTTATGTTTGCCCGGGGGCGGCTCTTTAGCTTGAGCGGCAGCCGCACAGCGCTGTGACCAACAAGAGGACAAAAAGTGGCGCATCGTGACGGGCTTCTCTTTTGAAGAGGCGCTATGTCTGCGCTCAGACCTGAGCGACCAGAACCTTGCGGTTTTCCGCAAGGTCCCGCTCCGTGATGGTGAATTCATTTTGCTGCTGTTCTCGTTCCTGCTCCCAACGCCGCAGAGAATCAGAATATTGCGCCAGTGCGGCCTGCTCAGTCAGCTGGAAGGTGACGGGAGGAGAAACAGAATAGGAAGCGTGAATAATAAGAACGATAATGAGAAGAATACAAACAGTAATAAATGGCACCCTGCAAAATAGGACTTAAAAAGAAAACCACGAGTTAAAAAAAATAATCTGAAAGGCCAAATTGAGTGGAACAAAAAATAGAGTAATATAAATAAACCCTAGGTAAGAATAATATTAATCACAATCACAGGACAGAATAGGATATAAAAAATGACAAACCTAAAAAATAAAAAAATTCAAATTGTAGCAGAAAAAAAAATCTAAATACAGCCAAACAAGAGGTATGAAATGAATAGAATTGTTCTTAAATGCTTCAAAAATGGAAAGGGCTATCATAAAAAAAGTCATAAAAAAAATCACAAAAGTCGCTGTAAAGAATATACTAAAAAAAATAAAAACATCAACTAAATGACAGTACAATTATTGTAAAAACATCTATATGAATGCAATAATAATAATAATAATAATAATAAATATTACTCCTCATAATGCGGGTGATACCTGACATATGATGTCGAGATGATAAATCATGGGGAAGTCGGTTGCCATGAAGGTCATCACACAAATGATGCTCTCGCCCGGACGGAGGAGGCCTTGTTTAGGCTGGATCCGGATCACCTGACACCGATACAAAACAGAACCCATCAGTCTTTGTCACCTGGCACGGTGAAAACCCTCGATCCAACGAAGAGAAGAAAAAAAAACCCAAAACGGAATCATTGATTGCTCTGCTCAAATTTGTCCTGTGATGCAGCTCTTTTTGCAGCTGCGTGACGCTCACCTGAGTCAAACACCATTTGTAGAAGATTTCCTTTAAGGACACGTTGGTGAGGAAGAAGACTCTGGAAGAGTGCGAGCACACCGGGATCTCACCCAGAGAGATGCTGTCCGTGGAAAGAAACCCACTCTGCACACACAGGCGGACATTTTCAAATATGCAATGTGTTCTCAGGAGAATTTAAAAGTGAAGTCGTAGTTTTGTACACACTACGTTCAAATTGGATTCTTTTGAACGTAAGTGTACTTCTCCGATCTGACCTGCCCGGGGAGGGGAATCTTCCGTACGGGGGGTGCAGGTTTGGTCTCACTGCTTGGGAACACATCTCTTTGCGTATCTAGGCCGCAGCCATCGAACCTCACCACAGTAGTTTCTCCATGTCGGACGTGAATAGGAATGTCCATCTGGTAATGGACGATACATACAAGACAGACTGTCATTGGAAGCTGACAGACAATTCCCGAACGACCGACGTCACGATTGGTCAAAAGGGACAGCGGAGGAGCGCCTCCGACTTGACGCGTACGGTGTACATCTTGGCCTCCAGCGGAGAGAAAATGAACTCCAGCTTGGCCATCTTCCCCGGTAGGACGACTCCCTCCGGGTTGAGGCAACACAGCAGCGGCTGATTAAAGTTGTTCTCCTGGAGCTGCGACAGCACACCGGCGTCCACTTCGTAACGCACAGGAACATCGCCGCCGTTGTAAAGGTCGTACGTCTAACAGCACAAAGGAAAATACAGTGAAACTCCTCTACAACTAAATCATGTTTGCAGCAAGAAATGTTTCACAACAGGGGACTTTTCGCTGTAGCAAATTTTATCTCAGACGTAAACACGAACACACACAAAAACGTATATGTGTACTTTTTATTTTTATTCCAATAGTGCAAACGTATGAGCATACACTTATTTGACACTTCATGTAGCCAGCGTAGAAAGAAAAAGAGGGAACGAAATTGCGAAATTTACGATCAGCATTTACTTTCACTCCGCACACTTAAAGATTTCGTATAACGGAACAGGGGGACTTTTCGTTGTAGGGGGAGCAGAAAAGTGGGAATGCCTTTCATGCAAGAACATTTTTTCACACTAGGGGGTATTTTCGCCTATGTTGGTTTCGTTGTAGAGGAGTTTCACTGTAGCGGCAGAAGATGTACACAAAATACTCGATGTATTGCGGCGTACGGGTATGTATATGCGTGTGCCTTGAAGAGGCGGGGCCTGGTTGGGTGGCGTATGATGTGACATCAGCTGGGGCGGAGGACCACGGTATGAATAAGCTCACGCGACGGGGCATAAGGTTGCCAACGTTTCGAGTCCCACCTGCATCGGAGGGGTCAAACCGCCGATCATGATAGGGGTGAAAACGTGATGTGTGGATAAAAAGTACAGATGCGGTCTGTCTTGCTCCACTGTCACCCCTTGGAAGTTCAGCTGTCAGGGAACAAACCGGCAAGCGGTTAGCTAAATTCACATTTCCTCGGACACGTGCAGCATGTCAGAAGAGGTCATGATAAAAGATCTTTTGGAGCAGTAATTTACCAAGATCTCTCTGCCGTGTGAGATTTTCAATATGATTGGCAACTGATGCGTCCCAGCAACGACGTGGCTGTAAGAGGCACATTGATGGAAGAGCAAAACACACATTAGTCATTTTGCTCATTGACGGGGTCATTCGCAGGTCAACATATGGCAATGGACTTCTGACAGGAGACTTTTTTTTTTCACCCAAGGACAGCCCTCCTAGTCCTCACATTGATTAAACATAATTACCATGTGCACTCCCAGATGACATTATAATTTTTTTAAGTGAAAAAAGTCAGATTGTTACATTAAAGTCAATTTTTGAAAGGAAAAACGTTTGCAATCTTATGAGCATTTTTTTTCATTCTAAAAATAAAAATACGGTATTGTTTACCAGAACAAAGACATATTTTGCTAGGATAAAAAGTCAATCTAGCCACAATAAAGTAGTAGTTTTCCAAGATGAAGTCAGAATATTCTCATATTAAATTCAAAGTTTAACCGGAGAAGATAATCACAGTGGTGGAGGTCTTATTTAGCGGACAGAATTTTTTGTTAGCCTTGGTTGCTCGGTGACGAACTGCTTCACTGTTGTGTGGTGTTCCACAGGCCTCAATTCTGGGGCCTCTGCTGTTCTCACTGTATCTGCTCCCTTTGGGCTCCATCTTAAAGAAACATTCAAACCTTCGTGTTTATCCTGTCTAGATGAAATCAAGACCCGGATGGGACAACATTTCTTGAATTTCAATGAAAAGAAGACAGATGCGATGGTGTTTGGCCGCAGTGGCCCTTGTATATCTCATCCTGAGGACTTGGACCCCCTGGCTCCTTATCTGAAGCCAAAAGTCTCGAACTTGGGTCTTAAACTGGACAGTGATTTGAAATTAGACCGGCAAATTGGTGCCGTTGTTGAATCCGGCTTTCTTTCATCTTAGGCAGCTGGCTAAAGTCAAGCCTCTCCTTTCTCAAGAGAACAGTAAACCATTTTGAGACGCCCTGCCCTCTGTGATCATGTCTGACCTGTAGCTGAACTGTACTGCTTTCTGCTGTCCAGAAAGCATAGTTCCGGACAGTGGAGAAACGCTGAAAAGCTCCACAACCTGCAAATATTCAGAAAATACGTTGACATTAAAAGCCGTCACCCAAAATCTATTGATGTCACATGTGACGAAGAAGAATTATGACATGCCTGCATCTGCTCGAGCTCGTTGTGACATAACTCTTCTCGCTGACTCCAGTGCTTGAATTCTACCTGTTGGTCGTCTGGAAACAAGAATGTCCTAAATTTCAAGAGGAAGCAATTCAGTAAATCGGTACAAAAATGTTTGACATTACTCTCCTTTCTCAAGAGAACAGTAAACCATTTTGAGACGCCCTGCCCTCTGTGATCATGTCTGACCTGTAGCTGAACTGTACTGCTTTCTGCTGTCCAGAAAGCATAGTTCCGGACAGTGGAGAAACGCTGAAAAGCTCCACAACCTGCAAATACCCGGAAAATACGTTGACATTAAAAGCCGTCATCCAAATTCTATTGATGTCACATGTGACGAAGAAGAATTATGACATGCCTGCATCTGCTCGAGCTCGTTGTGACATAACTCTTCTCGCTGACTCCAGTGCTTGAATTCTACCTGTTGGTCGTCTGGAAACAAGAATGTCCTAAATTTCAAGAGGAAGCAATTCAGTAAATCGGCACAAAAATGTTTGACATTATAGGAGACACATTACCCGATGTGTGCAAGCATATATCTGTGACGTGCTTCCATCAAGATACCCCACAGATGAAGAATGATTGCACACTTTTCACCCCACTTTTTGGAACTTCATCTTTCATATCCAGTGGTCGAAAGACTGTATTCTGATTAACAATGCGTTTGTGAAATATGAACTAACAATCAAGCTGTTTGAATCCAACTCAGGGGGCGGCCATTTTGCCTTGTACTGCCACTTGCTGTGGACTGAAAATGAAATCATCGTGGCCAAGGGCTCGGGTAACGACCACTCATGGCGCACCTGTTATCTGAGTTTGGTCATGTGATGTTCGCGAGCGCAGCTCAGAGATTTTAAAAACAAACTCTTAAAATGAACGAACTCAAAAGCCAGTGACGGGAGGCGGCATTTGAAGCAGGCCGTGGACACATCATCTTAACTTACCACTCGACGGGGATGCTGCCAGGGTTGTAGAAGACCAACGCAAACGTCGAGGGTTCAGAATTCAGGGGAGCCGCACTGAAGTTAACATCCAGCATGGCTTTGATCAAGATGGCCGGGTACTTGCCCAGTCTACAAAGACAACCAACCACACTGTGACGGTGCCACAATCGTTCCGATTTTGGAAAAACACCGCAAAATCCATTGATACTTCAAGAATCCTCCCGTGCGCTTCACCTGTGGCTTCTGGGGCTTCTGTACGTGTGCTCCACAGGGGAGGGGATGGAGAGCAGCTGCGTGTTGAGGCAGTCCACCGAGAGGAGTTCCCACACGTATGACTTGCTGAGCCAAGCCGCGCCGCCGCCGCTGCACACGTCGCTCACCTGCATGGTGGGGAACACGCCCTTGCCGCGCACTTCGCACACCACTTGCGAAGGGCACAACAGCACGCCTGGGGAGGAACAACGAGATGAAACGAGCTGAAAACAAGTGTCGTTCTTTCAAGTGTATGTGTTTTCTGTTTGTACCGCTGCAACTCAGTGTCTGGTAGCTGATGGTCCACCTGTAGTGGGCTTGACGATCTGGCCGGAATGTGGCTCGGAGCATAAAGGTAGAGTGCGAGGCCACAGTTCCCCCTTCACAGTCAAGTTGCAGGGCTGGGAAAGATCAAACCCGACTCAGTAAATTTCAGGTTGGACTTATTAAAGACACAGAGATATACGTGGATATACACCAAAAGTACAAGAGCAGTGATTTCCAAACACTGTGCCAGAGGAAACTATCCAAACTATCCACTTTCACTTAATTGCTCCCGAAATTATTTGGTAATAAAAAGTATACTTTTTTGGAATAAAACTTCTGCCTCATTTTGGAAGAAGACTCCGGGCTCTATTTTCGTGACCGGCATAAATCCGGCACACCGTTTGGCATAACTATGTGCAGCGGCAGGTTGCTGCCGCTGCGCCGTTGTGGGAGTGGTCACAAAAAAAACTCAATCGTGGTCAAAGGTTTTTCTCATGCAAAATGTGCATAGGCTCACTAAAGGTTGGGAAAGGGTGCACGACAAGGTATACCAATGGCTGCAGGTTGAAGGTCCGGATGGAGTTGCTCATCTTGTAGCGTCTGCTCAATGGAAACACTGAAGGAGATTGAGCAGGTACTGTTGTTCACCAGGGGAACATCAATTGCCTGAGCACGTCCAACCATCGTATCTCCCATTTCCAAGACTTCTTTAATCGCCTGAGCAGGGAATGCACATCCACATTTGTGCTCATTGGCGGCTGTCACGCCACTTTTTTAACAAACGGGCCCAACACTTGTAATCAAGCAAGACGAATGGATACATAAATAGCCGTACCTGTATGAAGCCTTTGGCGCCTTTTCCCATGACTTTGAGGGTAAGGATGGACTTGTTATAATTGGGGTTTTGAATTGGCCAAACGATGAGAACAGGTTCAAGGACATATGTTTTCTCTTCCTTTGGATTAAAGGACCATTTCTGCTGCTGTGATGTCAAAATGGTCCCCAAAAGGCGTTTTAAAAAAAAAATCATTTTAAAGCTCTTTGGATGATTTCAGATGGTACGAACAGACCTTCTCTTACCGCAAACTCGTTGGCTTGTAGTTCACCGGCTTCCGGTTGAACAGAGATGAGATGCTGGTCGGAGTAATGGATGTTCCATTGGAAGCTATCACGCCATCATCAGAGAAGATCAGATTTAGGATGTGCTGATTTCGAAAGAAAAAGAGGGACCGTTCGTTTCCCCACGTGACAGAAAGAAACTCACCCCAGAGGAATGTGGCAGATGTTTCTGATGATGTGAGTCTGGTGGGTCGGGGAGCCCACGGACGTATCTTGGAAATATAAAGTGCCCCCTCCGCTCAGTGACACATTCATCTTTTCCAGTATGCTGAAAACTGTAATTTCCTAAAGCAAAGTAAATCAAACAGGTGCATCAAAAAAAAAAAAACCTCTGGAGGGTGGGGAACGTTGATGTCACCCGGCCGGGGGCCCGTCAGTGTTGCACCTTTGTGTATTTGCTGCAATTGAACTGGAGGCGCAGCTCGATTCCCTCGGTGGGAGAGTCTTCTTTGGGAGTAGTTATGACGGTGAGGATTTGGTGGGCCCCAGGTGGGATCAAGCCGCACCTCGGCACCACTGACACTGACGCTTCCAAGGAGGGGTCGAAGCTCTCGTTGAGGTTGCGACAGAAGGTGAGTGGCCGCTCGCAATCGTTGCGGAGGAGCAAGGTCTGATAGGATCGAACGTCAAGGCCTGTGAATACCTACAAGTGAAGCGCAAAAGAGTTGATGCGCAAGGATACCGTTTGAAACACCGGCGGCACATACAGTGGATAGAAAAAGTCGACATTCCAAAATGAAAATGAGCCCAATGAATCTTTTGAAAACGTTTTCGAGCATTCGTGTGACGTACACCACAAAACACGTACTGGACTGAAACAAAATCTCCCAAACATGTGGAAATGTTTTGGCATAAAAAAATAAATGTCTGCGAAAGCCGACTGGATAAGCTGAAATGTATTTGGGGCTAATGAGAAGCATTTTCAACGGTGTGCTGACTCCCATTGAACATAAGTTTGAATGTAACTGGTTGATTCCGAACACGGCCACATCCCATTTACAAAAAAGAGGGTGTGCAGACTTATGCAACCACATTACTGCAATTCTCTATTTTTTAATTCCCACTCTCCATTTTTTTGCCTTTTTTAATTCAATTGAGTTGTACAGGTCATTGGTCACATGCATACATTTTGAAACCGTATCTCAGTCTCTCTATTATGTACCATCGAGAACATTTGAACACAACTATTTTTCCGTAGCCGTCAGGTGTCACGCTTACCACTTTATTTGGCTCAAGAGAGAAGTGTGGGTAGAAGTGCTCTTTGCCACGCTCAAAGGAGTGTCCAATGACTCGGACGATGACGCACCAGGGGGGACTTATCTGTTCCTCGTTCTTCCAAGACGGACTTTGCTGCACCACGGCAGAAAAAGGGGAGACAAATAGAATACCTCACTTCATATCCTGCACCGGTTCAGGGTGTCCCCCGCCTAATGCCCGAAGAAGGCTTGGGATAGGCTCCAGCACCCCCCGCGACCCTTGTGAGGATAAAGCGGATCGGAAAATGGATGGATGGATATTGTAATAATTCATACGGAAAGGAAAAAAAATCACAAAAGAATGTATTGAAGCCGGTCCTCCAATATGACCACAGTCGGCTCATAAACAAATGCAACAGTCTTGAAAGAAAGTGACCCAAAACTTTTCAACAAGTCCTCCCTACTTGCAAAGCGAGGCACTCCAGTTGAGCTGCGTGAAACGTGTTCACTTCCTTCGGACTGTAAGTCACTCTGAATGAGGTGCACTTCAGTGGCGACAGCTCACGTGTGGCGGGAGAGACAGAGAAGGGAGAGTCCGGGGCGTTGGTCCACATCAGCCTGCAAGAGAAAGCCCTGGCGTCAAATCCATTCTTTTGGAAAAAAAAATCCAGTTCAAGTCTCCGGCGGGGAAAAAAAAACAAAACAAAAAATGAGGAGTGAGACAACTTTACGTGACTTTCACAGCGGAGTTGTTGGTGATGGCCACCCCCTGAGAAGCCGCGGATGAAGTCGACCTGGGCCAGGGGGACGTGATGTGATTGAACAGCAGCTCGCTGGGCACCGCCGATACGCGTGTGGACGGTGAGGACAAAGCGGATGAATCCGCCTCTGCCGAGCCGGGCCGGTCGGCGTCTTCCTTGGGAGTCATCGACCGGGCGATGGAGATATTATCTGATTGTCGGCTCACTTTCTGGAAAAGCACGGGGAAAATGGCCGGCTGAGAAAAACGACATACAAACCCGACGAAACGTAATTTTGAGGGCGGGACCACAATTCACCTCATCCGCAGATAAGCAGAATGCTTGCGGATCCAGCTGCGTGCTATTGCTTGGCAGCAAGACGCTAACGATGTCCGAGCGATCCTCTGTACTGTCGGCTAAATGTTCTGGTGTCAGTACAGCTGGTTTCTCCAGATCAGAGTGACACGTACCGATCAGGTCAAGGAACAACGGCGCCTATGAAAGAAAAGATGCACCTGAGGTCGACGAACGTTCCAGTTGGCGAATATATCAGCCTTGTTGTTCCTTGCGCGGTTGTACGATATACCGGTACTAAAAGGTAGCTATGAACATTCTCGTTACGATTTAAAGATGCCGTATCTTACATTCCCTAATATTATTTTGAATGAATACAAAATGCAAAGAAATTGGGGTTCTGCCTTTTGCCATCTACGATTTAAAGATGCCGTCGGTCTTGGCCATGACAACGTTTTAGTCTCGGGTATTTGTGATGTCGGGAGTCGGAATGGCGGTATCGTAGCGCGACTTCCTTACCCCGTGCAGTACAAAACACGGCACGCTTCTGTGATGGGCAAAAGGCACTGTGGGGAGGTAGCAGACGGTCAGCGTTAAACAGCTCTTGGCGGCTAAGGTGCCGCTTTGCGGTTGGATGCTGAACACGCTGTGTCCGGCACAGTCGAGGTCCCATTGGTAAGTCGCCTGAACGCACGAAGAATTAATCATCTCGATGGTCTGCGACGCTGTGGTTCCCAGTTCAATGCAGCCAAAGTCAACCACGGATGAAGAAAAAGACAGCTTGGGGCCTAGTAACAAAAAACAAAACAATGAGGCATGTACGGAGATGCATTTCTGTCTTGCTACGATCACAAACACCGACAGCGTTTCGTTGCATTTGTGCGTCATACCCGTCGAGTTTCCAATGAGCTTGAGCACCGTTTGGTTGAGTGCCCCTTTGCATTCTACCGTCACATACTCCACAGAGACCGAATCGGCAACAGTTGGCACAAAGGTGACTTTAGCCGTCATGCTTCCACCCGGAGCGACCCGATTGCTGCTGACTTCACAGACGAATTGGGACCCCAACAGGGGAACCCCTCCAGAAAGTCGGGCAAGGGAAAAAAACGCAGTGACCTGCAAGACGGCGGCGACATGCAAAAAGGAAAAAAAAAAACAAAGCAAAACACATCGAATTTGAGCTTTTTCAAAGGTGGATAAAAATCTGATTCAGAGTTCAGAATTTGAATCGAAAATAACAAATCAGAAAAACACACCACAGATGACGACTGACAGAACCCTTTCTACACTAAAGGCGTATAAAATTTTCAAAACCAGGGCCACTAAATAGTACGTAACTGTTAATATTTGCAGTTTTACAGGATTGTTTTCTCTTTCGCGTTGTCAATGTTGCCTCTTCCATAATTCATAAAAATCAGACTCAGGCAATTCCATTTGAATTTTCGGCCCTTTTAAAATCCAGCCTTACTCACATGCGAGGGATTACAGATGTCAAAACATTTCTGCACACTTTGTCCGACTGCGACAGAACCAAAGTTTAGCACGGGACCGCCATGTTGTTGCTCAGCTTTCGAACTCGGGCTTCTCAACTGAAGACACGGGTACTTGGCTTTCACCGAGGGAGCAAACCAGATAAGAGGCGAATGATTCCACATGCAGCCTTCACGTGTTCACACACTTGGAAGTGTGTTGGTCGAGAATGACAGTACCCACTCCCTGAAGACGCACGGCGACGCAGCAGTCGGCTTTTTCCCCTTCCTCCCCGAAACGGCAAGCAGCCAGTTTGTTGTACAAGAGCGCCTGCTGTGGCTGGAACACAACCATGAGCTGAATCTCCTGGCTGGGCTTCAGCACGCCTTCCTCCGGACTCACTTGAAAAGGTTCCGGACACTCCCAGTGGAAGTACGTGTGCAGTTTGCTGCGTGACAGACGCATCACACGGGCAAGACGATTGACGGAAAAATTAAGAGTCCAACAAGGACATTTTTTTTAGGTCAAGGTCGGGATGATATGATACCTGAGATTCTTCAGCAGAAAAGGAGCAGAAGCGGCTTGATGCACTGCACAGAGTGGAAGGAGCACAGTGTCGGGAACTTCGAGGGCTGGAGAGGGAACCACAGCCTGAAGCGATACTTGGAAGCTGCCATCTTTGCCGTGAAACTCGATGCTGTCCTCGTACTTGCACTGTCCAACACATGGGAGAGGGACCACGTCAAACACCCGTGTGCGCTCGATAGTCTTAAACCAATCTATGACGAGCAATATGACCTTCTCTTCAGGTTTAAAAGTGACCGGTATGGACAAAGTCGTCCCTGGGCTCACGGCGACGTTGCGGGAACTGGAGATGCTGAAGAATTTGGTCACCGGAGGTCTGAGAGGGAGCCAAGACGGGATACTCATGCGGATAGATCCAATTCTTACTTGCGTGTTGTCTTTAGAAAACCACTGCCGACCTTAACTGAAGTTTCTGGAGCTTGAGGCCGATGTTCTTTAATGTTAGCGACTTGGTGAATTCTCCGCCTTCATCCCAGTCCTCCCATAGCAGCTCGGGCTTCGTTTCAAGGCCCAGGAAGCAGCTTCTTTGAATGGGCGCACGCCGCTTGTGCTGGTGGTGAGTTACTGGATGCTACCAGGGGAGGAAAAAGAGAGAGAGATAAATGATGGAAGAACTATGCAATGAAAAGAAGGCTGCAATGTATGTTCTCTTAATGTTAGCGACTTGGTGAATTCTCCGCCTTCATCCCAGTCCTCCCATAGCAGCTCGGGCTTCGTTTCAAGGCCCAGGAAGCAGCTTCTTTGAATGGGCGCACGCCGCTTGTGCTGGTGGTGAGTTACTGGATGCTACCAGGGGAGGAAAAAGAGAGAGAGATAAATGATGGAAGAACTATGCAATGAAAAGAAGGCTGCAATGTATGTTCTCGCCGTGCTTTTGTATTCTGCACCATAAAAAAAAAAACCTTACTTTGGTATTGTTCACAATAATGGAGGACTTCCACAGTGCTTCTGACCCAATTGGCTTTGGACCCTCAGACTCAGCTAACATGACTGCAGACAAGGAAGACGTGAGGGACGTGTTTCCTATGTTCATATTTACATGATAATCTGAATAACCTGAACGACATTATACTACGCGGGGAACACAAATATGTATTTTCTGTCCAGAATATAAGAAGAGGAAAGACAGCCTATGCGTCACCAGCATCGGTTACGTTCACGAAAAACCACCACCAACAACAACAACAAAAATAGCCAGACAATATTGGAAAGGTGACGGAATACGTCCATACGTTCATTCATGCTTGCAGTTAAGATGGCACGCTTAAGTTTATAACACGCCAGTATTTGAACTTAGTCAAGTACAAAGTCGCCGAGAACAAAAATCAATTAAATAAATTTGATACATTTAAAATGGTTGCGCGTTAAAGGCTTGCGGGCTTAAGTACAAGTTAAGTAACCGCTTAGCACTTTCGCTAGCTCTTATCTTTACACGCTAAATTATTATTAGATTACTTGTACATCTCTGTCCTTAACATAGAAGGCTTTGTGTTAAATTACATACCAATAAAATCACTCAACTTCCATTTTACACTCTTGACACCGACACATTAAAAGCCCAGGTCAGAGTTGAACTGTTCATGTTAATCGGAGCCAAACACACGCTTACCTGCTTCAAGTAGGACAACTTTGCGACAGCAACAACGTATTCTATTTGTGTTGTATGTTTAGAATAAAAAACAATAAAAAATACATCAACAACCGCGTAGAGGAATTTGGAGTTTAGTGAGTCCTTTAAATGTTGTATGTTGCCATGGTAACTACGGAAGCTGAAGGAGGACGACAAAGCAAAGCAGTATTGTCGTGTTTTTTTTTTTTTTTAGCACAAAATCAACACATCGTCTTGGCGTATATTTGCCAACTGCGTGTCCTAAAGATAGGTTGCATCGCTTTGCCATTTGTTCTTCACATGAACTTTATTTGTTGAGCAATGGTATTCCTCCTTAAGGCCCCCCCAAAAAGTTTTAAATAAAAACGACATTTGCAAAAACAGGATAATATATATTAATTATATCACTCTGAAAATATGAATCACACTCATTGAGAACATTTTAAAAAACAAACGGAAACAAGCTAACAAAGAGTAGCATTCCATCAAACAGGTTATGTGTGAAATCTATGCTTACATTTTCCTGCCATAACAAATTCATTTCATTCACAGTTGCATCAATTTTATACTGGACAAAAAAAAAAGAAAAAAAAAGAAAAATGCTTCAAAACATTGTAAGGTCTCTATGTGACTGTTAAGGCTTCCGAAAAAAATTTCAATTTTTTGTCTATATTCGCTTGGCCCGTAAACCAAACCAGTAAGCACTAATAATAGCCATGCAACAACAGAAAGTCTGAAGTGCTGGTGCAGTTACTATGCTTGCCCATAGAGATGAAATAATTTAAAATTATATTCCATGACTATGTAAACAAACATCTTGCAGTTCTGTGTGGACTCTGAAGTCTGGCTCAGGATCATGACAGCCCATTCACAAACTTAACGCTACGTGTAAAAATTCATTGCGGTTTGACACAACATTTCAACGACTGACTTGAGATAAATAAAATCTGCGCACCTGCTACATTGTGCATTGGCCTCTCCGGAGCAATATACAAACACAAACAATGAAAACACATGTCACAACTATGGGAAAACCCCACTTCGTCTTGAACTTCCCTCCTCCAGTTCCTCTTCCAAATAAGACCGGTAGTTCTCCGTGACACCTCCGGCACGCCTCAAGAGGGAGCCCAGAGAACCCGGCAGCACATTCGGATCCTCATCCTCTTCCTCGCCTTCGAGCTCCTCTTCATCCTCCAGGCTGGAACTCGGAGAGTCCACCTGGAGCTGGACACTGTCGGCCCTTTCGCCGTCGCTCAGCGGGGACGTCGGGTTAGCGTGCTCCTTCGCTTTACGGCTTCGCTTCCACTTCATTCGCCTGTTCTGGAACCAAATTTTAACCTGTGACAGAGTAGCGAAAGGCAAGTTTGAACATTGCAGGCGGTTGTCACATTGTAACTCGACATTTGCAATTTCTGTTGAAATTGCATGTAAATGCGGACATGCTGAATGTTAAAATAAGCACATCTGTGGAATGATGTTGAATAATAGAGAACAATATGGAATTATATTAAATGATGTGGAATGATAATGATGAATGGAGGATTTTTATATATATATTTTTTTTGGGGGGCGTGAAAATTTTTGGCATGTTGAAAATTGTTCGCAAGGTGAATTAAATGCGGTGAATAGTTTGAATTTTAAATGGCAACGGTGATGTAAATCTGTTTTGCTGAATGTGTCAATGGGATCGAAAATGATTTTTTTTTTTTGGTGGGCATTTTAGTGGTGAAAATTTTGGCAAGATGAAAATTGTTACAAAGGTGTATTGAATGAGTTGAATGTTTTGGTTTTCAAATGGGAACGATGTTGAATGTCCCATTACGAATGAATGGGGCGATTTTAGTTGAAAATGTGGAATTTGGGGAAAAATGGGAATTTTTGTGGGGAGAAAAATAATAGTCCGTAAGGTGAGTATTTTTGGAATAGTTTGACATTGGAATGACGTGTATGGGATGAATTATGTGAAAGTAAATGTGTGTTAAAATAATGGGCCGAAGAAAAATACAGGTGACAAATTCCTTGTCCGTTTTAACATGCAGCACTGTGCCAATGAAGATGATTTGGATTCTAATTCCCAAACTCCACATGACTTGACAGACTTCAGTGGAGTGGAGTGCTTTCGCACACAATGTGGCCAACGCGGTGCAACGGCAGTGATCTGCAGACAGTACCTGCGTCTCAGTCAGCATGAGTGAGGTG